AACCCCAAACTTTAAGCTCAGTACTACACCTATTTTCACATAGCATAATCCCTCTTCAAACTCTTTCAAAAGCTTCTATACTCCATGTCATTTTTCATGATGCCCTACATCCCCTTCCATCCTCTTGACCTCCTTAAAAACCCCAAACCATAATATGAGCTCAAGAATAAATCCCCTTTCACATATACCATAACCGCTCTTTAACCTCTTCAACAAACTTCTATACTCTATATATCATTCCTCACCAAGCTCTCAATCCCATTTAAACATCTCAGCCGAGTCCCTTGGAATCCAATTTTAAGATATATCTTTGCCATAAGCCGACAATTAATTACCAAGGATCCATACATCTCAATCTCCTCAAAACCATCTAATATAACCTTAATCACTCCATAATTTGTCTATTAACTTTATCCTCTTCATCTCATATCCTTATAAGTAAATTCAGAACAATATAAAATCTCAAATCCACTGCCTCGATCACCAATGAAAATGTCAGTCATATCAATGCATATTCATTCATTAAAGACAATTCTAAGTATTTTTTTCTTAAAAAAAGACACACTTTTAGTAGTTGACTTCTTAACATGTTTTTACATAACATAATTGTTAACAAATTCATCATCAAACATACTCTCATTCTCACTTATTTTTGTAACAATTATGTTAAGACATCTTTTTTTCCTCTCATGTTTCTCCCAAATGTTTTCAATAATATTAGGATTCAAAGGAAACTCACATCTAATAACAAAATAATGTGTAGATATATTATCTTTTTTTTATTAAATATCTTTTCAAGGCGCAATGGGCTCCTCTTTGAATCCTACTCTGAGGTTTATTAATGTATCAATATTTGTTGCCTAATAAAAACATTTCCCATTCGAAGACTCATTTATCACCTTCTCCAACTCAAAAACCCTTGTCACGATGAGACCCAACTCAACTCATATACTCTAATAGTTCATATAAGGTTGGGTGCAGGACAAAACATTTTCCAAGATCTTTTATTGGAGAGAATTTACATTTATATCATTTAATTCATAATATATATAGCCACTAAAAATCATCAATACAAAAATATAATATCATCAAAAACATATACATATCATAGATCCATTCACGTCAAAGCATTTTATACAATAATTATGGTATTTTCAATCTTTTCATCTAATAAAAAAATTATATGATCATGTATATCATCATGTATACTAGTATAATCATCACATATGTCATATGTGGATCATCGTATACACTAATATATTATTATATGTATCTTGTGTATATAGATATCATATGTTACAAGTGAGGTGTTCTAAAGTATCATCATATTCATGCATATCAATACCATGCATCATATCATACCAAGAGTATCATCATGTATGCTAGTACCATGCATCATATGAAATCATTATGCACATGATAATAATATACAAGATAGAGTAATTAAAATGATCATATATCACCATAAGGTATATGTTAGTGCATGATCATATCATATCATATCGTGTCTTCTTATGTAAAACATCATATTTATTCATCATGACATAATATACATATATATCATAAGCAAGGTAGGATTCTTGGCTAATCATATTATTATTAGCCATCCCTATATAATATCACATATCGTACAATATTAGCCATATCTCATTAAATCGGTATCAAGATCATTCACAATAACAAACATGTGGTATCATGTTTAGATTCGTCACTCTAATCATATTCATATCATATCCATTTACACCTCCCATCATATCAAATATTTGATCCTTTTAAATGAAAGACTGTCAACATACCCTCCTACGTACATAGGATATCATATCATTCCTTCGCTAACCTGAATTAACCAATAGCTAGTCTTTTTTTGCATACATATATATTTCATGATCAAGATGCATATGCATATATATATATTTGATATGAATTATCATATATCTATATATATATATAATCATTTCACCATAATAATTGTATTCATAGGATAATTTAATATGCTAATTTCTAAATGTATATATTCAGCTAATAAATCAACAAATTATATGCATGCTTCAGTCAATATATCATGTCAACTATACATGTCATGTTAGATAGTCATTGTCAGATGTACATGTTAATCATTTTACGTTAAAATAATGAAATGATAATTCATCGATTTCATGCTTTATTCATCTTACTTTTTGAGCATACATCAATTACTAAATATTCAATGAATATTTGATATGATCATATTACAATGTGTAGAATAAAAACCTCCCCAAGGGAAGCTTCCAAAATTTTAGAATAAAAACCTCAGCGTTGTAATGCTCCTAAGCGCTTCGTAAATTAGTAGAAAGGGTATTGGCTCAACATTGTCTTTAAAACACTATAGCACCCCTAAGGGCAGCTACCCTTAAGGGCAGCCTTAAACTTACGAAGCCCTTGCGAATTGATATGCATGAATATGATGAACCACTACCCTTTCTACTAATGAAAATTTTGAATTTCAAAACATTAATATTGCCAATTATACCTATAAATCTTAACAAGTTCTATTTAGATAATTGGGATCCATAATTACCTGAAAAAGCAATTATTATAGCACTACCCTTGATTCACATTCAAAGGCATAATACTTGGTTGCTCCAAAACTTTCTCTGGTTTGAGGCCACGAATAACAAAGCGGACATTCTCTCGATAGTTAAAAGAATGAAGGACGTCACAAATTAAGAGATCAATTATGAGTATATGCATGTATATAAAGTTGGATAAAGGTGCAAAATTATAAGATTTTATTTTTAGAATCTATCTATTTATAGGTTTTAAAAATGTAGGAGGAATATAAATCAAAATAAAATTCATTTTTGAGATTAAATTAAAAACTTTCAGATATCAACCAAGTTGATAAGATGGCCTGATGAAGAATTCAACTCAAAGTTGTCATTCCAATCAATCTTTTTCCCTTTCGATTGAACTACCCTGTGGATTTAATTGCATTTATATATGAACTAAAAGTAATAAACAAATCGGCATGCTCATAGTCTTAACAGTAAGGCCAAGTTGTGCATAACAAATAATACAATCACCAAATTGATATTATATGAAGTTGACTTATTTCTTCCTTTTTCGAGGATCCCAATTGACTAAGTTGGCAAAGAAGTTTGAATATAGCTCAAGAGTTCATAGAATCACAACCCACATTTAACTTATCATCCGACTAGATATTCGGGATCACCTGAAGTTCGATTTCAGCAAACTTATAGTCAAACTGAGCGTCTCGGAAATACGAACCAACGACACCAATTTCGACTCAATCCGAGCCCAAATGAGTCCCTATCAAGGACCTGAAGCGCTGTTGAAGCTTCGTACCACTGTTTGAGTTACCAAACGGTTTCCAAATATGACGAGCTTATAGTTTAATCGAGCGGCTCAACGAGATGAATCCAACGAGCCCAAGATCAGTGAATTCTGAAATCATTAAGGCCTCCAAATGTTTGACGAACGGTCCTTGATCAAGGGATTCGATATCGCCCGTCCATCCAACCACTCCTCATTTGCCCTTGATCTCTCACCTATTTAAGGGTCATGCCACTCCAAAAATCTATAAATAGACCACTCATTTCTCTTTAAAAGGACCCAAGCAAGAGAGAGAAGGAAGAAGCTCCTCCTCGACCACCGTCGGAGTTTCGCCAGACCACCGCCGGAGCTTCGCCGGACCACCACCTGAGGCCCTCGCCTTCACCGAACCACCACCTGAGATCCTCACCTTCACCGGACCACCACCTGAGGCTCTCACCTTCGCCGGACCACCACCTAAGGCTCTCGCCTTGACCGAACCACCACCTGAGGCCCTCCCCTTCGCCGGACCACCTCGACCACGCACCAGAGACCTCTCTCTTCGTCAGACACTCCCACTGAGCCTCACATTCGTCGGACCAACCGTCGGAGGCCCTCACGCTTCGTAGACACCGCAGAGGGCCCCACCTGTCATCGGAACCACACCGCGGACGCCGCTCACCTTCATACCAGACCTCCACCTGAGGCCCTCATCTTCGCCAGATCATCACCTAAGGCTCGGAGTTCTGCCAAGGCCATATCTGAGGGACCGAAGTTCTGCAGACCATTCACTGTACACTAAATTCTGTTGTAGCATTATTACTTGTAATATGATCGCCGGGAGGCGAGTAGCCCATTGTAAACTCAATTCTGAGTTGAATCAATTTTAACTGGGCGAGGCCCCCGAGGTTTTCCCTTTTTAGAGCTTTCCACGTAAATCTTGTGTTTTAATGTGTGTGAGCTAGATATTCGTGCAACGCTTAAGTGTAAGTATTCTAACTCTAATCGCCGCTGTATACTTCCTAGCACTTAACAACTATACTGGCAAAATAACAGCGGATAAGACTTCTACTTTTTATTATATATATATATATTATATATATATATTAATAATATTAATAATTAAAATAATTTATATATATAATATATATATATATATATATATATATATATATATATATATATAATGAGATTTTTTAGCTCTCTCAAAATAATAATATGGATCTATCATTTATGTAAATATCCCAATCATCAATCTTTACCCATCAAAATTAGAAATGATATTTATAACCTTCAGAGCTAATATATTGTTCTCATAATATAGGCTATGCAAAATTAAATCCTTAATCATAGAAATAAAGTTGTATGTGAACCACCCATGAAAACTTAAGCACAATGTTGCCCAAATATGTGCTGTGGGGCCGGCGCTTTTTGAAAAACTCGGTACACCTCGGTACAGACATTTTTTTGCCTAGGACCGGATGTTCCTTTGCATCCGATCGGATGACGTTATCGTGGGGCCGACCTGCCAAAAAGAAATTATATTGCGGTTAGGTATAAGGGGAAGCTAATCACGTGCATCCGAAATCTTGTGAGGGTGACCCGACTTTGGATATTTGCTGAGTTTGGATAGGGCCCGACCCGCTGTCGGCCCGTTTCCAATCCCATATTCCCATCCGCTTCGATGAGTCAGAAATAAAATGATAAAAAACAGCCGAGGAAACGAGCGAGAAGGAGAATCTTCACCGTCCATTTAGCTTTACCGTGCTTATTCCTTCTTCCCGCCCCCTCTTCTTACTGACACAGGCAAGTAATAGTGATGATGGAGCAAGGCGGAGATCGGGAGGTCTCGATGAGCGCCGGCGAGGAGTTGGAGGAAGACGAGGAGGAGGAGGAAAGTTTTCTGTTGAGTGGAGGCATCGAGGTGCCGAGCGGCTTGGAGCTGGGAATGGGTTGCGGGTTTGTGGTCACTGACGCGCTTGAGCCTGACCATCCCATCATATACGTGAACCACTGGTTCGAGGAAATCACAGGCTACTGCGCCGAGGAGGTTCTTGGTAGGAATTGGTGAGTTGCTTCATCTTATCTGGTTTTCACCTCATCTCGTTTGGCTTAGTTACTGGGCTTTCGCTTTCACCATTTTGGTCTGGGAGCTCAGTTGCATCCGTTATCGGTTTATGGGTGTTCACTTCTTGAAACCCTAGTTTGAACAATCTCGATTTGGTTTTCGTACATATTAGCCTGCATTTATCACGTTTGATTATTTTGTTGAGTGTATTGCTTGGAAAGCGAAGGGTTTGTGCTCTCAGCTTCTTTGAGTGATTGAATAGAAAAGGGAATTCGAACTCAGATAGGGGCATTGCCAGATTTTCTAAAAACTTTGGTTTTTTTTGAGTAATTTAAGATTCAAAAAGCTGCATTAGATTGCTGTTGTTGAGCTTGTCTGGTCAAGGTTTTTAAAAAGATCAAACGATCTGAAATATGAGGGTTATTATGTGCAATTTAAGTACCCTTTTTTTGCGGGAAGCTGTTACTTCTGTTATGATTGTTTGCAGCTATGATTAGACAAAATTTTAGGATTAATGGTAATCTTAAATTGATACTTTTCTTTTTGAAGTTTTTGTGTGCTTGATGATATGGTTTATAACTACAGGTTGCAGGTCTTCTTTTTCAATATGACCGTTTCAAACAGTCATTTCCTGTCTTGTAAATATTTTTGGGTCATCATCATAATCGTGATCGTTAGCCTGATACCAACTATTTGCTGTTGGCTTTAATTATGAATTATAATTTTTCATTTTATATCGAGATCACATAAGTCTTGTAAATATTTTTGGTGATGCCTGTTGTTACAAGTTGGTTTAGAAGAGTGAGTGAGATGATCTTAACTGTTTTACTTTTGATGTGATTGTTTGACTCATATTATATATTGACATTATTTTTCATTTTTATTCCATGATAGTGTTGACAAGAAAATTATATTTAATTAGGCTCATTAGTATGCCATCCTAAAACTGTGAACTAGAGTGATTGTCTTTTCTAATGTCGGATCAATTTCTAAGGGATTCATTACTTGCATTTAGAAAGTATGTGCGTAAAAGAAACTGTTCTTGTTTCACTTTCGTCTAATTTTCATTTGTTCATCTTTTCCCTTGACATCAACTCCCCCTCTTCTCTTCTTTTTCCCTCCTTTATATTGTATCTTACTTCATGTTTGAGTCTTCTTATTGAAACATATATAGCTAGACAAAAAACACATTTTCAAAATAAGCTCATGGGAAAAAGGATTTGCAGCAAGCAATTGAAAAATTTTTGGTGGGAAGGAGGAATAAATTCATCAATCTCCTTGACATTTAAGGGGTTAGAGATTAGTAAAGATATTTAGGATGGTGAATGTTAAGAAAGCAATAGCATAAGGAACACTTGAACCCCCTAGTAAGATGTGTACGCTTCAAGTTGTGGTGCTTAATCTTCATGTGTTCATAGCTTTGCTTCTTATATTAGTTTGAAAATGCTTGAAACTTTAAACAATAATCAAGATAAGAAGTTTGCAAGCTTCAAATGCATCTATGGAAGTATCAAAATTATCAGTAAAATAGACATATTTGCATTGAACACAACTTTAACTTCTCATCATTATTTTTTGGAATTCATTTTAAACTAATGTTGGTAACAAAATTGGTCAAATAAGAATTGTGATATAGCCACTCTACTTATATTTTGAAGTATCAATTCATAGAATTAAAAATGAAACACTAACAAAAAAAATGTTACTCCTTTATCTTAGAATTCTCATGATCTTTCTTATAAATTGACTTAAATTTTTTAGTGGACATGCTAGCCCATTTAGGCCCTGCCATTGTGTTTCACATGAAGTAAATATACCTTTTTTTCAAAATCAAAATTGGTATTTCCCATCTTCATATGATTTCATTTGAATATGCAAACTTCTATAGCGATCACTCCTACATTGACATTTGCACTACAGTTTTAGATGTTTGCCTGTGGCACACATGGGCAGATCTAGATTGGAGGCATCAGAGACGCGCCATTATTGGTTTGGGCCTATCCCATTTAGTTGCTTGATTGGGTGACTTAACTTGTCCCTTCACTCATCTTTATTTTTTTCTTGCTGAATATCAAGATATTTGTAGAACAAAGGACAAAAAAAAGTCATAATACAGTTAGAAGAATTATGCATGCAGAGGTATTAGCGCATAAAAGACATCATCTATGAGTTGTCATTTCATATACTTGCATTTAGTGCATTCTTGCATAGAGTTTAGGATAATAAACTTGATTTTCCTTTTGTGTCCCCACTCAAAAAAGTTTCTAGATTCGTTCTTGGTGGCATGCAATGGCACAAAAGTTACTTATTTAGTAGTTCCTAATTTGAAGATGATGACTATGAGGGGAGATTTGATGGAGATATGTGACGGTATATGAAAGTAGACTCATACTATTTTGGTTTCCATTACCCAATTAACCAATCAGTGTTTTTATTGACCAATCAATCTATTATAGCTTTATTTCAAGGAAAGCATGTGTATATTCAGGCTTGTAGCTTCAATGTTTAAAGCTAAAAGTGAAAAAAAGGAAAATTTAGAGTTTCATTTATAAGAAATGATGTTTAGATTTTTTTTTTTGGTTTATAATTGAACAATTTTACTTTGAGTCTATCTTTACGGTATGATGAATGCAAATATATTTTACTGAGAAGGATTCATGAAGAGATTTCTACTTTCGCCAGAACGGTCAAGTGTCTTTTCAAATTGGTATTGAGGCAAGGCTTGGCCAACGCACTTGATTGAAGTTGTTGTATGGAAGTTGAAATTTTGTATTGTATGTTGTGAAGGATGCCTTTTAGTTTACAAGTGTACTGCTTCCTCTTCTACTCACCAATCGTACCTGTTTTAGTTGTCTTCAACATTTATAGTCATGGATCTTTTATTGCAGCTGTTGTGGCACTATGAAGACTTCAGAATTTGGATTTTCGATCTTGCTACCATCCGCTCCCCCTATTCTCCAAACTAGTTATGCTCATTAGAAATACATGTTTGATATGTCTAAGAATGTTTAATAACTAAAATTGGTATGGTGTATATTGTGTTAGTTTTGCAAATTGAAGGAAAGATAGTCTCACTGCATCACAAAGGTGCTAATACATCTGAATTGAGTTATACAGAAGTTTACTTGTTCAAACATGTAGATATAAGGGTCCCAGTACTAAACTAGTGAATAATTTTAGTTCCTTTTAGCTCCAGACCACTTGCATTTTTATTGAAAGCTTCAGCTAACGGCACCTAACTTTTTAATACTGTATGAATAAGTGGATGAGTTTTTTAATCCTTCAACTAAATGACAAGATGTTTTAAAAATGTTAAACAAAGTATATTACATCTAGCTTACCCGAAGTAGGGGAAGATTTCAGGTAAGATTAAGAAAACAATGTTCCTTAAACTTGGGATCAACAAATAGGTGAAATGAACCCTAAAAATGACATGCCTAACATTCAGACTCTTCCTCAATAAATAAAGCATTTACGTTTCCAATAAAATATATGATTATGATATTTTTTAATATTTCTTATTTTTATTAAGATTTATTTCATTGTTGTACCTTTTTCAAGCAATAGATAATTTGAAAAAAATAAAAAAATTGTCTAGTTCGAAGAGATTCCAAAATATTTGTTTTATTGCCAGAAGTTTCATTTTATAAAGATTTGATCAATTTTGAAAATTTAGAAAGTTATTAGTACTTTCTGTCCTATTAGTTGTTTAACTATATATTGTACATATATGTGATTAATATTTGATTAATATTTTGTTTGGGTATATTATGTGATAAGAGAATATCATGAAGATTTAAAGGTAAATATAAAACTATGTTAGTCTATGTTTAATGATTATGAGTGTTTTATAATAAAGTTATTAATAACCAAGTTAAGAATAAATAAAAAATGTTAAGATGATGTGTGGAGAATGTAAGTAAGATGAATTGGGAAACACTTATGTGAGAGAGAGTAGCACTTATTGCAAATAAGATAGTTGAAAATGGATTTATGTGGCTTGAGCATATATAATGGAGGGTGTTAAATCCCAACCCTGCCTTGGCCCTTGATACAACTATTACTGGTGTATTGGAGAAGAGTGGAGGAAAAACAGAGAAACAAGGAAAGAGATATTTGCTCTATCTTTATTGGTAATACCTATGCATTCTCAACTTGAAAATTCGCATGTTGTGACAGACCTAAGTTGCCTTGCTTGTTTCAGCCGCTTTTTACAGTGCAGAGGACCATTTGTTCAAAGGAGGCATCCTTTGGTGGACTCCACAGTTGTCTCTGAAATACGAAGATGCATTGAGGAAGGAACCAAGTTCAAAGGCGAGCTTTTGAATTTCAAGAAAGATGGGTCACCCATGATAAGCAGGCTGCAGCTCATTCCTATGTACGCAGATGGTGAGACAGTTACCCATTTTATTGGCATCCAAATCTTCTCCGACACAAACGTTGACGTAGGACCATTCTCTAACACCCGGGCAAAGGACTTGGCTGGATATTCTGAACGTTTTAAGTCAGGCCTCAGTTTGTACCGACCAATTTCAGCAGCTTATAGACATATTTGCAGAGAAGTTTGCAGCTTTTTGCAATTGAACGATGAGGTCTTGTGTCAGCAGATCTTTCTAAGGTTGGACCCAAGAGACATTGCATCTGTTGGCTCTGTATGCAAAAGACTCCACCACCTGACAAAGAATGAGGAGCTCTGGAGGATGGTCTGCCTGAATGCTTGGGGCAGTGAAACCACAAATGCAATAGAAAGTGTTCCTGCAGCAAAAAGGTTAGGTTGGGGTAGGCTTGTGAGGGAATTAACCACTCTTGAAGCTGTCGCCTGGAGAAAATTTACCGTTGGCGGTGCTGTGGAACCTTCTCGCTGCAACTTCAGTGCTTGTGCCGTTGGAAGCCGGGTTGTCCTTTTTGGCGGTGAAGGCGTGAACATGCAGCCAATGAACGATACCTTCGTTTTGGATCTCAACTCGAGTAACCCACAGTGGAGGCCTGTAAATGTCAGCTCCCCCCCACCAGGTCGCTGGGGCCATACAATATCTTCCTTGAACGGATCTTGGTTAGTTGTATTTGGTGGCTGTGGCACGCAGGGATTGCTCAATGATGTTTTTGTATTGGATTTGGATTCTCAGCACCCGACATGGCGCGAAGTGGCAGGTCTTGCTCCTCCCTTACCGCGTTCATGGCACAGCTCCTGCATCCTTGATGGAACAAAGCTGGTTGTTTCAGGAGGCTGTGCAGATTCGGTGTGCTTCTCAGCGACACCTATCTCCTTGACCTTTCTGCAGAGAAACCGGTATGGAAAGAGATACCGGTGCGGTGGACGCCGCCTTCAAGGCTTGGTCAGTCATTATCGACGTACGACGGTCATAAAATATTAATGTTTGGAGGTTTAGCTAAAAGCGGAGCTCTTCGTTTTCGTTCCAATGATGTATTCACATTGGATCTGAGAGAAGAAGAGCCATGCTGGAGATGCGTTACTGGAGGTGGAATGCCTGGTACAGGAAACCCCGCCGGAATTGGTCCGCCGCCTCGCCTTGATCATGTGGCTGTAAGCCTTCCTGGTGGTAGGATTCTTATATTTGGGGGTTCTGTGGCTGGTCTCCACTCGGCTTCTCAAATATATCTTTTGGATCCAACAGAAGAGAAACCAACGTGGAGGATATTAAATGTTCCTGGCAGACCTCCAAGGTTTGCTTGGGGGCACAGTACATGTGTTGTTGGAGGAACAAGAGTTTTAGTTCTTGGGGGTCAAACTGGGGAAGAGTGGATATTGAGCGAACTCCATGAATTATCTCTTACAAGCTTCATTCAGGTATGAAACCTTAGGATTAATACCATGGAGAAATTACAAGAAAAGAACTGAGTTTTTTGGTAAGAGTATATTTCGGTTTGGTGGTGCAGTTTTACTGCTAGTGGTTTGTATTTTTGTACAGGAAACTCAATGGTTTGGTGTATATAAAGGCTATTTAAGGCATGCAGGTCCTTGTTTGTAGTGTGTTGGTAACTCAAATCTTTTTTTTTTTTTTTCTTTCTTGGGTGCCACTATTTTGTTAGATATAGTAGTAGTGGTCATGAGGTCATAAACTGGTTTTTTTTGTTTTTTTTTTGCATATGGCAATTTCTGTTAGGATAGATTTGAATGTCTTGAATTTGTATTATGTTCAGTGCAATTTGTGATAGCATATAAAGAACTAATTTTATCGTAAATTCTTGATATAAATTGTGTCAGGATATTTTTAACGCAAATTTTTTTTTTATCTATGTGTATTTATATAAAAAATGCTAATAACAATATTGTTAAACCCAAATTTATCTATGATTTTTTTTTTTAATTTTAATAAAAGGGACTTGCCCCCACTTTATTCAATAAAAAGAGATAAAACAACAAAGGCCTAGAGGTAGACAAAGCAAAATACAAGCTAAGATAGTGAAAAACGGGAATAAACCTCCAATAAGGAGCAAAAATAAAAATGACTGCTAAGAAACCGAACACCAATGAACATGGTGAATTTGCCAGCCAGACTTAGAAAAAGTTCTTGCAATCACCCAAAAATCAAGCAAGGACCATCCAATGGTAGTGGCAAATGACGAATGAAGCAGGGATAACCAATGAGCATCAGCCCACAAAACAAGCAAAGGATCTCGAACAAAATTAGAAGAGTGACCACCAAGGTTGACATCAAGAAAGGCTATCAAGGTGTTGAACAAAAGCAGCCTCATCATTGTTCGGATCACCACATTAAGCAAGCAACACAAAAGAATGCTCGTAAAGAGAAGGCCACCATAGAGAACAATGTACTTCTTCTTTGATTTTCTCCTACAGTGATTCCCACCGCCACGGGAGAAGGCGTGATCCACAACACACCCCACTTTCAAACCATGTAACTCTTGAAAATCATCCACATGCTCAACGACGTCATCTCCAACACCCCTGCAGGCCGAGGATAATAATTCATCCAACCAATCAGATAGTTCTTCAGTATTGTTATTCAAAGTCAAAGCCAAATGAGTTTTCAATTCAGCATTAGAAATAATTGAAATTGGAACATGAATAATTGACACATGTCCCTTAATACCCCTCACAATAAGGTGACAGAGGCGATCCCAAAGAAGCCAAGGGTGATTCAAGATTAGTCTCGTTCAAATAACCAGGTGCTTCATTTTAAAAAAAAAACTTGTTAACATCACACACTACCATGTTGAGCCTATCCTCAACATGACAAAAAATATGAACATTCCTTAACAAAGCCCAACATCCAGCATTCGGTCGGTATCATAAACAACAATAGTAGTGGTTGGTCTATCCTCAACACCCACCCCATCAATAAGCGAGGGATCCAACCCCTTAGAAGGAGAAACCAAATTTACATTAGGATAATCCGAACTATAATCAACATTTAGGGAAGGAGTTAAAATGTGGTTAGATAAATGGTTCACAAAACTCAAATCACTAGTAACACTCTCACGATTAACACCAGGTAAAGACGTAGAAGCATCCTTACGCATTTCCCCATCAACCAGAGAATCAATCCCAATAATCACATTTAGAACAGTGAGCTTAGGAACAAGAGCAGGGGTCATCAAAATGATCACAAGACATAGGATTAGGTAGGGGTGTCAATTTCGGGTCACGGGTCGGGTTCGGGTCGAACCCGAAACTGACCCGGTACTATTTGGGTCAATGCGAACCAGACCCGTTTCTGTAAACGGGTCGACTTTTTGGACCCGAACCCGACCCGCTTCTGGTTCGGGTCAACCCGACCCGACCCGAATGACCCGATTCGGACATAAAACTGCTAGTTTTCGGGTCCAAAAATGGGTCAAACTCTGCTTTTCGGGTCAAGAACTGGTCAATCTCAGGTTCCCGGGTCAAAAACGGGTTTTCGGGTCAAAACGGGTCATTTTCGAGTTGACAGGTCAACCCGAACCCGACCCGATTTTTGAAATGGATCAAATTATTGAACCCGACCCGTTTCGGGTTCGGGTCAACCCAAACCCAAAATTTTCGGGTCGGATTTTCGGGTCGGGTTCGGGTCGGGTCCAATATTGGCAAATCAATTGCTTCTTGAACCAACGCTTTAGCATAGCCATTCCCCGTAAAAAGAGCAACAGGATCCTGCCAATCAACAACCCCATCTAGAACGACAACAAGATCATTAACACCACCAGAAGCATCCTTAATACCCCCCTTAATCATCCCATCCTTAACAGACGAAACCAAAACAACAATATCATTACCGTTATCATTCCCATCAAACAAAATAGGATTAGAATTAGTATTATAAACATGCATCGGAGTAGAGGACTGGATGCGACTTTTACCCCCCTAAGATGACCAAGACATTTGCAAGAACTACAAATGAAGGAAATTCCTCCATATGAACCAATTGAATATATCCTAAATTCTCAAGCCCAAGTCAGATTCTGTCTGAGTATTTTTTGCCAGTTCAACTAAAATATGCGCAAGAGAGAGTCTAGAGAAAATAGATGTGGTATTGACAACGTTTAAGGGCCGGCCAAACATAGAACCCAAAAAGTGTGTAGGAACCAAGGGGAGAATAGATGGGGTCCTAGGTTGGGGAAGGAAATCCAAATGTGAATCACAGGTGATTCAACACCGATATCCAAATAATCAGACCATTTAGTTAGTTTCATAAAGAAATTATTTACAAAATAGGATAGCAAAATACTCCGCTATAATCAAGATTATTTGTTAACTTAATCAATACATATGATGGATCAAGAATAGTAACAGAGAAATTGACAATAAGCTTCCGATTGAAAAAAAAAACTACGAATGGAATCCAAAGTCGGTTGGCGAGAAGGGAAAAATCCACAAGTGCCAAAATTTTTTCTTCCGTGATTCACAACAAGTTACATGGTGAATGCTCGATAAATCATGAAAAAATGTATTTTTTTATTTGGGAGATATGAAATCCTTAGAAACCAAAACAATCAAAAACAGGAGTAAGAGTATAGTCACTTACTCCAATTAGAACTAAATCGTAACAAAATCATGGGCCAAAATGCTCAGAAGAGCTTTCTCTCTCATATTCTCTCTCCCTTCTCTTCTTCCCTTCCTCAGCTCCTTCCCCAACAAGAAATGAAAATAGTGGGGTGGTGGAGAGGGTTGAGTGCAGGAATATATATCTTGTTTTGTGCACAGCATCGCGATGCTCCAACTCGACACCGTAGCATGGCTTGCTCATTATATTATTATTGTAGAATAAAGATCATCTATATCGCTGCATTGAATTCTGACACCCCAATGCTAATGCCTCAGCGCAGTGGCGCCCGCAAGCATAGTGCCGCAATGCCCAACCCAAAATTTTCATGTTCCGTTCATTTTAAACTTTTGGGTTACTATAAGAATGCTGCAAAAAACAAAAGAAGAAGGATTTGGAAGGTTGGTTTGTTGAAAAATAGTAAGAAGAGGGCTGAAACAGGCTTTTTAGCGGTTGGGTTGCTGAAGAAAACAGTTAAAGAGGGTTGGAATCGCCCTTGCGGCTGGTTAGCTAAAGAAAACAGCAAGAAGAGGGTTATTTGCTGAAGAAAATAGCCTTCTTATGGTTGTTTTGCTGAAGAAAACAACAAAAAGAGGGTTGGAACAACTTTCTTTTGGTTGGCTTGCTAAAGAAAACAAATAAAAGAGGGTTGGAATAGCCTTCTTGTGGTTGGTATGCTGAAGAAAATAGCAAAAAGAGGGCCAGAACAACCTTGCAGCTGACAAACTGCAGGAAACTGGTGAAATGCATGACTGCAGAAGTGCAATCAGCTGTCACCGTGTAGATGAAGTAAAGAATAGCTGGAAAGAAGCTTCTCGCGGAGGATTGATGTTAGTGCAAGGAGAGCACCATTTGTTATGCTTCTTGTTCTACATCAAGAAGGGGAGATCCCCTTTTGAGTAGTTGCGGACTCCTTGAGGAAGAAGAAAGGAAAGAAAAGAGGCTAGAAAGGAAGAAATCAGAAATCATTCATTCCATAACCTTATTTTACAATAGGATGAGTATTTATAATACTGGGATAGACCAAATTTATAATACAAAACTGGTATACCTAGCACATACATAAAATAGAATATAAGGATGTTAGGGCACTTCCTTTCTCGAGTGCATTTGCAACTCATATGCTTCAAGGCAGACTTATTCTTTGATGATATAAGGTCCTGCGTAGGTTTGGCTCAGCATTTGAAGCACTAATTGTTGAGATGTGACATCAGCATTTTTCAAGACTAAGAGCTTCTCCAGCCGAATTGTATTCGGGTGTATGGAGTGGCTTTTTGCTCCATTGGATCGCCAAAAAATACGTCAATGACATGCGGGTGAACAGTCCGACGTCAATATTGGTCAAAAAAATCGCTCTATTTTGTAGCTTGCAGGAAATGTGCGAAACAAGAGATGTTTTAGCGCGGGAAAGAAGAGAAATGGAGTTCCGTTGGAAATGAATTGCGGCATTTTGAAGTTTTCCACCATTTTAGAGTGAAAAATGGGGTTTTCGGTTAGAGATGCCCTGAACAACTCTTTGATGCGTTGAGTTTTAGTACTTCACCATTCAACTTTTGATTTCTGTGGGCTCCTTGGATATCTTCTAGTATATTAGTATCAATCTCCAAACCTTCTTTATTTCTTTCTTCCCACTCGCCCAACGTAACTCATCTTCTTCTAATTTTTAGACCGTGATCAATCGCTGGCTATGCAACTTGTACTCGACTAGTAACAGGGCTTCAAATCCATGAATGTGAGTGAATAAGGTTTGACCAATTGTCGAGGATGATGCGGTACTGAGTGCAAACAAGTTAGAAGGTAGCGCCTCTCCCTGTTTGCCGTTTGCTTATTCAAACCTTCTATTTTAATAAATTCATGATTTTCTTGCTCACCATTCCAACTCGGTCATTCATCTGAGGCTGATGTATTGAAGTGAATTTGAGGCCTCAAATTAGGCGCATGGTTGACAAAATTAATTTTACTCAGCATGATTTTATTTATCTATTATTTTTTTGTTGTTTTCATACTGTTTATAAATTTTTTTAATAGTGAAAATTTATTTTTTATAATTAAAAGATTTTCTTCAAAATAACTTTACAATCAACTTTAGGTAAACCTGCACTCAAATAGGTCCTAAATTTTCATCAAATTAAGTTTCAATTTGATGAGTGTATTAATTTTGTTAGAGGGGAAATTAAGAACAGTTTATAAATTAGATCTGGCAGCATTATACATTCTGCATGCAAGCAAAGCTCTTTCTTCTATGAAGCCACGTTCCTACGCAATAATAGTGCAGATCAGAAGTTTGCTGTTGTTGCTACTCTTTCATATTTGCTGGAGGTTTTTGTCATTTGTTTGTATTAAGCATGTTGCAGGCGCTTGCTTCTACAAATCATGTGGTCACACAACAGGATTGTCTAGATCAAGAGAAATTAGTACGTGTAGGGTCTGGATACAACTTATATTTGGACTCTAATAAAATCAAGTCACATGACATGTATAATTTATACGCATAATGTGTATAATACACACCATGTGTACAAGCCATGTGACTTAATTTTATTGGAATCTGACGTGTCAGGACTCCACGCATAATAATTATTTGTTGTCATGCAGCTCATTTTAATATGTTGGTTAAGAGGTTTTGAATTCTAGTCTTATGTATATGATGTATGTGTTAATTTGTCTTAGGGTATTTCCAACCCAAAAACCCATTTTTAACTCCAAAATGCATTAAAACTTCAAAATACAATCATTTTTTTCCAATCAAACATCATTTCTTCTTCTTTCGCCCGCTTCCTGCGAAGGCAACCATCTTTTTGGCGCACTTTTCTCCTCTTTCGCGGGCATCTTCGGTAAATCCCCCAGCTAATTTTTTTGGAGTATGTGAACAGTTTAACATCAATATTGGAGTCGCACTATTCACCTACCGGAATTTGACGTGCGATTTGGGGTTTGAATGGAGCAAATGTCAGGTGACATAGGGTGCTATGGAGTTCGGTTGGAGATAGCATATATTGGCCTAAATGTTCTTAAAAAAAGATATTTGTTGCTATTTCTATTATTCAAATAATAATAATAATCTAATTCCATATAATAATTATGTTAAAATTTGGCTGATGGATGTTATTGTCTTCTTCCTACTTAACTTCACTTTATTTTTATTTTTAATTATAAATTAAATTATTTTTGGGATACTCAAAGTAATTTTGAAATATTTTTATTATTTTTAAAACATGAAAAACAATGTTATGCATGTTCTCTTCCAAATAGATATTTAATGAAAACTAAAAAATTATTATAGATATTAAATATATTTTATTTTTTTATCAAATTGATATATAGGCAAATATTCGCCTCAGCTTCTAATAATTTTCTTATAGGGAAAGGTTTTTTTTAATAAGCTAGACATTTTCTAGCCTGTGGGCTCTCAGGCTCTGGCTTCTATGAATCTCGTCTATTCTGTTGCCTATTTAATTATTATTATTATTTATATGGAAAGGAGTCTATGAATCATGCCTTAATCTATTTTAATGAAGCTAAATATTTGAATTATTGTAATTTAAATTAGTTAACAAAAAAATACTTTTAGTTATTTTGAATTATTGTTATTTGAAAATTTTAATGGGTTGTTAGTAAATAAAAAGATTCGATTGTTTGGATAAAATTTAAAAAAAAAACAAATTGAAACAATTTTATTTGATTGATTTAGTTTGGTTATTAATGCAATGATTTACTTTTATTTATAATTTTTTTTTTAATTTTGATAATTTTTTTTTATAAAATATTAATTAAATATTAAATTATGTTAATGCTTTCAAATATCTAATCAATAAAGTCCTATAAATAAATAAGTATATAAAAATTAACATAAATATTATTTATTTCACATATTAAAATTATGAATTTTTATGAATAATTATATATCGGTGATAATTAAAATTTCGGGGGGCTAGGGTTGCGAGGAGAGAGAGGCTCTGCTAGGGTTTCTTCTCACCGCCGTCAGGCTGCTGGTTTCGTTACTTCCTCCTCCTCCTCCGGCTTTTGCCGGAGGACCCTCTACTGGGTTTTTCTGCCTCTTGCTCCTTGTTTTTTCACATGGAGCCTCTCTCTGCTTCTGATTTTCCTCCGCTTTCGGTGTATGCAGGAGGATCTTCCTCCTCTACACCTTCTCGCGTATGGAAGAATATTGTGATAGACTCTGTTCCCATATCTAAGGATCTACCCCTCTCTTTTCTTCCTCACAAACCAGATATCATCCCTTTTGCTGGGGATCGCCTGGTTAAAGGGGCGGAAAACTGGAATCTTTGTTTGGTCGGATACTCCATCGGCCGTCGTCCTTATTATGAAGCTCTTCTTGGAGCGATTCGTAAAACCTGGACCCTTAAAGGATCGATGCAACTTCTCTCTCTATCGGATGGGTTCTTCCTCCTTCGTTTCACCATAGAGGAAGATTATGAGATGGCATGGTCTAAAGGCATGTGGTTCTTTCTGGGGAGGCCCTTTCTGCTTCAAAAATGGTCGCCTAAGTTCCGACCCAAGCGTGAAAACTTCACTTCAATCCCCATCTGGGTGAAAATTCACGATCTTCCCCTGGTCTGTTGGAATTCCGAAGGTATTTCACGCATCGCCAGCAAAATCGGCATTCTGTTAGCTGTCAACTCTCTTACTGCACAAAAAACCCGTCTTATCTTTGCTCGCGTCTGCATCCAAGTAGACGCCTCTGCTACTTACCCTGAGGAGATTCCGATCTCTATAGAGGACGATGTCTTCAGTCTGAAAATTCAATATGAGTGGAAGCCTACTCTTTGCGAGCACTGCAAATCGATGGTGCATGCCTCCTCTTTTTGTCCGTCAAAACCTGAGGCTGCAACCACAAATGTCATGCATCCTCCTCAGACCTCGCTTCGTGGCCGAAGCAAGAGCAGAAAGCCACAAGGTAGGAAACCAACGCCTTCTTCCAACACACCTTCCTCTACTATTCCCCCCTCCATTGCTCTCGTCTGTCCCAATCCCCAAGTTCTTACAGACTCGATCACGGTGGAAACCACTATGGTTCAGAGTTCTCTGTTAGGCCCGGATAAACAGATTATCGCTCAACAGAATCACAGCCTTCCACCTCTTCCTCCTCAGCCAACTTCTTCCACCATTCCCACCCAAATTCCCCCCACTGCCTTACTACCCACTCCGGTTGTTTCTAATATTCCTAATCTCAATTCTCCTCATGAAGCCTCATCTTCCTCCACCTCCTCCTCTTTACCGCTCTTTAAGCCTCTCCTTCCAAAAATACAATCTCCCAATAAGTTTGATGCTCTCCACCTGTTGGTTGAAGATCCAGACAACTCAGCGGATGATTCTTCCTTAGAGATTGACTCCTCTGCTCGAGTCAAAGAAAAGGAGAAATCGCAAACTTACTCGAGTAAGCAAAGTAAAAATGCAAAGGGGAAGCAAAGCAAAAAGACCCCGACGGCCAACCGTTAAACATGTCTTTGCCGATAATTGCAAGTTGGAACATTAGGGGCTTCAACAGCCCAGACAAAGTTTATTGCTGTAAGCGTCTGACTTCTTCTTTCAATTTGGATGTGCTCTGCATTTTGGAAAATAGAATTCTCCCGTCTTCTCTTCTCAACCCCTTCTTCTGTGACACTCATGTCATTTTTCCTATGGAACAATCCTGCCACAACTTTAATCTGGCATCTCCTGGTCGGATTTGGATCAAGTGGAACTCTGCCAAAGTTCATTTTACACCTGAGATTACTACTTCTCAGCTCATCTCAGGTACTCTCACTGGAGCTACTTTTTCTCCTTTTACGTTATCTGTTATATATGCAGAAAATGATAGGGATGCCCGTATTCCTCTTTGGGATAAGATTAGAAGATGTGCTTACACAATCTCTAATCCTTGGATTATTATGGGGGATCTCAATTGCTGTCGCTTTGCTGAGGATAAATTGGGAGGTAATTTCTTACCCCTTAGCAGCTTAGGAGAATTAAACTCTGTTATCTTTGATGCTAACATTGATGACTTAAACTCGGTGGGCAACAAATACACTTGGTTTAACCAGCAAACCAGTAATCCCATTCACATCAAATTAGATAGGGTTTTGGTCACTGAACATTGGATCTCCTCTTACCCGAACTCCTACTACTCGGTTCAGGCTCCTTCCTGCTCTAATCACTGCCCTCTCATTCTACACTCTACTGTTAATACTCCAACACCTCACAGCTTCCTTTTTAAAAATTTCTGGACTTCTTTAGAAGTTTATTGGTATATCCTACTTGATGTTTTCTCTGCCAACCAAGTAGGAAACCCGTTGGCTGACTTATGTTTTAAACTCCGTGACTTAAAAAGGAGGCTCAATCTGGAGTCTTGGACTAATGCCAATGCTATTCAGGAGCATTTGGATTTACTCCATAGAAAACAGTTAATTTATCTTCAGCAGATCTCGGATTATCCTTTAAATGAGTCCCTTAACAGCAATTTGAAAGAAGTCAACCTCCAAATCACGAAATTCCCTTCTCTCCATGTCTCTTGGATTACTCAGCGAGCTAAGGCTTCCTGGCTTTCACAGGGGGAAGATAACCTGAAGTTTCTTTATAACAAAATTAGACGCCGCAGGGCCAATAGCAATGCGGTAGTGAATATTGGTGCTTCCTCTCACTGTTTAAATGAAGACATCATCTCTGATATCATTAAGCACTACCAAGACCTTTACAATCCTCCCTTGATTGAGGATTTAAATATAGAGCATTTTCCTGTTGGTAACAAATTATATTCTGATATTGCTGATATTCTTATTATCTCAGTTACTGATGCTGAAATTAAGCAGGCGGTATTTGATGGCAAAGCTTCTTCCTCCCCTGGGCCAGACGGGTTCAACTATCATTTTTATAAAAGAAGCTCGCACATCATTGGGCCCAATGTCTGTAAGGCTGTTAAATCAATTTTTATTTCGGGCATTATGCCCACAGGTATTAAAGCTACAGCTCTGACTTTGATCCCTAAAACTAAACATGCTGCTACTTTTAATGACTTTAGGCCTATTGCTCTATGTAATGTCATTTATAAAATTATCTCCAAAGTTATTGCTAATAGGCTTAAGAGTGTCATGCCTCTCATTGTGAAAGAAAACCAAGCTGGGTTTATTAAAAATAGAACTTTTACGGATCATATTATCTTAGCCCAAGAGATTCTTACCTATGCCACTAAGGGGAAAAAGAACTTTTTCTGTGCTAAATTTGACATTCGCAAAGCCTTTGATACAATATCTAGAGAATTTATTCTTGCTAGACTTCTTCAAAAAGGCTTTCCTCCTTTATTTATCACTTGGATTAAAAGCTGTATTTCCAATGTTAACTATTCTATTGTGATCAAAGGAGCTCTTCAAGGCTATTTTTCCTCTTCGGCTGGGTTAAGGCAGGGCTGTCCCCTAAGCCCGTATTTGTTCTGCATTGCTATGGATGCCTTTTCCTCAATTCTTGATGATAATCTTTTTGAGGGAGCTTATTTCAAGGATTTTAGGATAAGCCATCTCCTTTATGCTGATGACTTACTTGTTTTCGGTGATGCCACTTGCAGCAATTGCACTAAACTCATGGAAACTATCAACAGATTTACTAAAGCTTCGGGTCTTCATATTAATTTGGGGAAAAGTTCTCTTTTGCTGCCCAAGCATCTTACCACTGCTACTGATATTTGTAACTCCCTCCCCTTGTCTCTTAAGGATAGCATCTCTTATCCGGAAATCCCTATTTCCTTCAGGAAATTAAACTATTCTGACATCTCTTCTCTAACTGATGATATCACTGGGAAACTCTCTGGGTGGAATGCTAAGATGTTATCCTTTGCGGGAAGACTTCAATATTTGAAATTTACTATGTTAAATTCTATTACTTATTGGATAAGGGGTGCTATTTTAAACAAAGGTGCTTTTAAATTCTTTAGAAAAATGGCCTCCAAATTTATGTTCTTTGGTGATATTTCTGTGGGGAAAAAGTTGCACCTTGTTAGACGGGACAATGTCTGTAAACCCAAAGACAAGGGAGGACTTGGTATCTATAGTATATATGCTCTTCAACATGGGTTCAACTGCTCTCTTATACATAGAATGTATAACAGAACTTCTCCTTTGGCATCTTGGTTGTTTAGATACTACTCCTCCCCTTGGAAGCCTCCCCACTCTAAAGCCTCTAAATTCTGGAAATCCATCTGTAGCACAGCTGCTACTTCCAAAGATCTATGGGAATTCAAAGTTACTCTCAACTCTCCCCTTTCTTTTATCTGGGATAGCGGGTGCAATTCTAAATGCCTGGTAGACTTAAACCCGGAATACGCTAACTATGAGGACCTTAATGTGAGCAATTTCATTTCTTCTGATGGCTGCTGGAATATTCCTATTAATTTACCCATAATGGTCTCTAATGCTATACTCGGTGTTAGTATTATGGATAATAATTCTGAATGCCTTTCTTTGGCTAATAAAGCTAAAGCTAATTTCAAAAGTTTTACCAATGACTTTTACAAATCCTTCCCGGACTGCAACTGGGAGAAATTCATTTGGCATTCAAAACACTCGCTGAGATACTCTATTTACGCCTGGCTCTCTTTGGTTGGGGGCCTTAAAACGGCTATGGAACTATACCGTAGAAACATTGTGGTGGATCTGACTTATTCTTTATGCTTTAATCATTCTGAAAGCACTAATCACCTATTTTTTGACTGCAATTACAGCCACAACATCATCACTAATCTCATTCCAGAATTAGCCAGTATGCTTCTTAGACCCAACTTGATGCAAATCTTTGATTGGGTTAATGAAAACCAAAACCTCTCTACCCAAACCAAAAGGTTATACTTCATTATCATATGTTGCACTGTTTACCATGTTTGGAGAGAAAGAAATGAGAGAAAATTTGCTTTAACTGCCTCCAGCACTACCACTATCTTGATTAAGATCAAGAAAGTTATCCTTTGCAAGGTCTCCAAATGGTGTGATGGAGACCTATTGGAAAAATTAGCAGTTTAGCTGTTTAGTTCCATATGCAGCAGGGAGGTCCTGGGCTTTATTAGTTCTGAATTGATTTCATCTTCTAAAGAATTATGGTGCTCCTCAGTGATAGCTGCGAGATAATTGTTGCTGTTGGTTGTGGTTGCTTCGGCAGCTACCTGATTGCATGTCTTGGAGGCTTCAAATCTGATTCCACCTGTTATCATTTTGATCACCTGGACGATGATGAAGCTCCCATCCGTTTCCCTTGGACGGCCTTATGGCAACCAGGGAACTGCCCGGTCGCTAGAATTCGCTTTGAACCCATTTTTCTGAGTCCAGGTTTTTCAAGACTTGGGAGCATTTACTTGGGTTCAGCCTTTTCTGAGACAATTTGGTGTTTTTTACTCTTGGCAGTCTACTTCATCAATACTATGGAATAGATTTCTTTTGCTTCTCAGCAGTCCATTCAGTTTATCTTAGTATGGTATAGGTTTACTTTTCCATGCTTTCTGCAGCTCATGTTGTCAGTTCTTTTTCGTTTTTTCTGCTTTCCTTTTTGTTTCAGCGGCTATGGCTGTTAGTATTTGTTGAATCTACTGGTTGGTTGTGGTAGATGTCAACTTTCATATTGTACTCCTTTTTTTTTTCTAGACGGAATAAAATGGGCTCATGCCCCTAATTTTCCCAAAAAAAAAAAAATTTCTATGATTTAATCAATGTGTAATAAGGTTGAGAATTCTATAATTATTAACTAATTATAATTATTCCTATCAGCATTTAAAAGTTAATAGAAGATTAATTAAGTTTTAATTATGATCATTAAATAAATAATTAATTAAGTGATATAATTGACTATTCAAAATATTTGGTAAGAAATTAATTCATTAGTTCAATTAAGTACTAATTATATTATTGCTAACATAATTATGTTTTTTTATGTAATTTTAAGAACTGAGATAACGATAATTAATTAGTGATTAATAGAGCAATTGTTAATTAAGAGTTATTTCCTATTTTAATTAACTTATTAATATTTCTTTGTTTGTAATTATAATATTTATGATAGAAGTTAATAGTTTATTCATAAATAACTAAAATAATTATTAAAGTCAATTAGAAATAATTAAAGTTTAATTATGTTCACTAAAATCTAACATATATTTAGTTATGATATAACATTTAAATTGAGGAATAAGTAAGCATATTAAAAACGTCTAATTAATTATTAAGCTTAATTCATAATTAATTACAATTCAATTAGCTTTATTATAATTTAATATTTTAAATAAATTATTTAAATTAAGTTTCTTATACTTTGAATTAATCTGAAAGGTCAATAATTAATCAGAAATTATTTTGCTAACTTAGACTGATTAGAAAAGAATAATTTTCAATTAGCATAATTCTTATTTAAAAGCCAACTTAGGTAGATTTCTGCCTATCAAATAAATAATGATATAGCAAACTTCAAATGATTTTATGTCATGTTTTTTCGTCTGCTAGGGTTTGCGCCCTTCTAGGGCTTTTGCTCTAGCTGCCTCCGTTCGATCTCCATTTTCATCTCCGGCGGTACGTTTTTCATGCCAAAAAAAAAGTTAGATGCTGGTTTCTTGGCGGGTAAGTAATCTAAATCCTTCAAAGATGTTTTATCTGGTTCCGATGAGTCGAAATGTTTTCCGGACTTTCATATTTCTTCAATTCGAGGTATGCCGACGTTGTGGTTTTCGGAAGATGAATTTTTGCATCTTGCTAAGCCATTTGAGTTTGCTTTGGTGGGGAAATTTCCCCTTAAACGGCCGGCATTGGATTCGATCTGTAGGCTATTTTTCAATCTAAAGTTGTCTGGGAATTTTTCTGTTACTCTGTTGGATCAAGCTAATATGCTAATCAAGTTATCTAATGATCTGGATTATGGTATGGTTTTTGCTCATCGTTCCTACTTTGTTTATGGCTATTTCAAGAAAGTTATAAAATGGTCTCCTCTTCTGGACCTTTTGGAGGAGTCGACGATCATCCCTGTTTGGCTTTCCTTCCCGGGTTTGCGTCCTCACCTCTTCTCTTCCCGTATTCTTTTTGGGCTGGGTTTGATTTTTGGTCGCCCGATTCAAAACAATAATGCCACGGCCTCTGGTTCCCGCCCCTCTGTTGCTCGTGTTCATGTAGAAATTGATGTATCTAAATCATACCATGATACTGTTTGGTTGGGTCCGGAGAAGTTGGGGTATGTTCAGAAAATTGTTTTTGAGGGAGTGCCCAATTATTGTCAACACTGCAAATTTGTGGGTCATAAGAAATCGGAATGTCCTAAGCTTTTTCCTAATTTGCATCAGGTTGATGCTTCTGTTCCCCAGCCGCTGGCCTCGGTATCTAATCCCCTTCTGAACTCTAGTATCCCTGTTACTTCCTCTGTCGCGATTGTTATTCCTTTTTGTGATAATAATGCGAGTAATGGTGAATTTGTTTCGGATCAAGGAGTTTTGAATTGTGATATTAATATTAATGCTGGGGAGGTTGATGCCTTGCCCTTTGTTGATTGTCCGGTTATTTCGCCTGAGGTTTTGGGGCCTCATGTTCCTGCTTTGGTGGTTTTGGATCCTGTTTTAATTCCTTCTGCTATTAATGTTAGTAATGTTGTGGCTGATGGCTCTATTGTGGCTGTTAATAATGGTTATGTGATTTCGATTTTAGAGGTCGAGACCCCCCGTGTTATCGGAATTGAATGTGGTTTCTAATGTTGAGAGTGAGAGGGTGGAAAAATTAAATTTTACGGCGACCTGCTCTAATAATCTGATTGGTGTTCCTGTTAATTTGGTTGATACACGGACTTTTGCCAATCAATTGGGTGATAATTCGGGTTTTGATATTAGGAACCATGTGGATTGGCTACATGGGTCTTCTGAGTATGAATCTGAATCAGATTTTTCTGATTTTGTCTTGACGTCTCCGGAATTCTGTGGTGGATCCGTTCCTGGTAACGAATATTCTGTTGTACGAGATAGACCAGTTTGTTTGGTTGCTTCTCGTGTCCGTTTTCGTGGGAGGGGCCGTAGAAAAAGATGATCCTACTATTTTATGCTTTTTTTCCTTTTTGCTTCGGGTTGCCTTACTGCTAGGTTTTTGTTATGTTTTATTGGGGGCTATGATGTGGTCGGGGCTCGTACCCCCGTCGTGGAGCTGGTGGCAACCTCTGGTGTTGGTCGTTGAGTCTGATTGTTTTGTGGGAGCTGACTTCACCTTATTGGATGGTCCATGCGAGATTTTGGGGGTGCTGGAAGCCTCGGCCGTGCACTGAGCCCAATTTAGATTGTTATCTGCCTTGGTCTTTTTTATTTTTGAGTCTTCAGCTGTTGTAACCGTTTTCTGGTTTTTTAATAAAAGTTCTTTTTACAAAATTATAATAATAATAATGATATAGCAAAATTGGGTAAAATTTTAAAATAACTATCGTTAAGAATTTAATTAACTATTAAACTAACCAAATAAAAAAAATTAGACAACCACTAAGGACCACTTACTGTTATTTGGTGGTTTTCTCAAAGTCGGAAACAAATCTGATCAGACTTCCCTCATAAAATTGTAACTTTTTTAATGCAATGTTAATGTTATTATTGAAGCTGAATATCAACTTTCCTGCCATTTCCAAAATTGAACCAGAATTTCGTATCAATTTTGTTGAATTCACTAGCTTTAGGGAAGGTATTTAGGTCTGAAGAAATGCTGAACTAAATTTAAGGAATTTCCATAACAAGTTTAAATGAATGAATCTTGTTGCGGACAGAAATATACATGGCAGTAGAGTAAAAAATATAGCGTCTTAGCAATGTACATATATCCGGCACACCAATAAATAGTTGAGAGAAGTAGAAACACCAGAAATTTTTTTATGTGGAAAATCCATAAAGGGAAAAAACCACGGGGCTTGAGCCAGATGAGAAAATTCCACTAAGTTTGAATGGATTACAAAGTTTGATTCTTCCCTTTACTTGGACATGCGAAAATTACAATAGATTGAATAATTGGACATAAATCTGGAAATGATTGATGAACGAGCGGAAGTAAGATTGTGGTTGAGAAAAGCTTCAACAACGGTCGAGAAGAAACTCTTGAAGTGGTGGAGAAGAAACTCCGACGATGGTCAGAAAGAAATTTCGGCGACGGTTGGGAAGAAACTATGACAACTATCAAGAAGAAACTCCGGCGATGGTTGGGAAGAAAATTTGGCGATGGTTAGGAAGAATTATGGCGACGGTCCGGAAGAACTCTGGCAACGATTAGGAAGAAACTCTGACAACTATTAAGAAAAAACTCCAGCGATGGTTGGGAAGAAACAACGACGACGGTCGGGAAGAAATCCAGCAACGGTTGGGAAGCAACCCTGGCGATGGTCTGGAAGAAAGCTTTGGCGACGATCAAGAAGAACTCTGACAACTGTCGGGAAGGAACTCTGGCGACGGTCGATAAGAACCGACAACGATCTAGAAGAAACTATGCCGACGGTCATGAAGAACACTGATGATGGTCGGTGGCAAGAGAGCTCCAAAATTCTTACCTTCTCTTTTTTCTTCTCACACCTCATGAGAAGAGTGGGCACTATTTTTAGTTTTTAGAGTTGCATGGCTTGTAAATATATGGAGGATCAAGGTCAAAATGAGAGAGATTTGAATGGATGGCCGATAATAATCCCCTTAATCATGGATCATTTAATGGTCATTTGAATGCCTTAATGACATCATAATTCAATGGTCTTGGGCTCATTGGATTCGTCTCGTCGAGCCGCTCAATTTGATTTTAAACATGTCATCTTTAGAGTTCGTTTTGTATTCTAAATTGAGCTTTGAACAGTTTAAATATTGAACCCTTGATTTGGGCTCATTTATGCTTGATTCTAGCTAGTTCTGATGTTGATGGGTTTGTCATTCTGAGACGTTCAGTTTGACTATAAGTTTGTTGAAATCAGAGTTAGGATGGTCCTATATTGAATTTCGGAAGCTTTCAACTCAATTTCGGCTCGTGGTTGTGCCCGATCAAGGTAATTTTTTGATGATATATCAATTGTCTCCTTTTTTTTACGTCAAAACTTACAAAGTCTGAAAATATACACTTATATGTTCTCCTTGATGTTGACTTGCAATTCAAAAAATAGCAAATACTAGTCATAATTAATTTTTCTAAATTTTCAAATTATCAGATAAACATCGATAATGATATATTAAAATTCACAAAATTAATTTTTTATTCAAGCTTTTACGAGATTGATCATTTATTTTCTATAACATTTAGTTGTTTATATAATAATAATAATTAAACTAATCTGATTTTGAAATATTTATCATATACAAATTGAGAGATTCCAATTATCAATATTTGATAAACTTTTAACAATTTTATTTGGTGATGTACGTACATACCACTTTATACTAATCTATTTACATATCTAACATCTAAAACATAAATATTATTTATATAACACATTATATTATTTTAATATCAAATATGTCACATATATTTCATTCTCACCACTCATATATTTCCTCTCTTATTTGATTTTAAAGTGAATTATGGTTAGTATGTATGTGATATTAAAATTTTTGATGTCATATATATATAAATAGAGTAGTATATAGTGATATGTATGCAAATTCCCCTTTTTATTTTTACAAATTTGTATGTGATGAGGCAAAATATTGCTTGATTTACCTTGATGATGTTGATTGGACTACTAGATTTATAGTTAGGCTATGTATTATATTTTTATAATTATTAGTTCTGTATTATAACATGTATTATGTTATAATGTCACAGCAATACAGCATCATTTTTTTTTTAAATAAATTACATTTACAAATAAACATACAATGAATTATATATTATAACTTTCATTATAATTTTTATAAAAGTTTTTTTTATTAAAAACTATTACATGGTCATAACTAATAACATATAAAACGTTAAAACTCGCGATTGCGCGATCGCATTTGGAAAGCTTTAATTTATTAGTTATCATTTTTTTTAATTTTTTTTTCTTATTTTTAAGATATACTTAATTTTAAAATGTTAAAACATATTATATTATACTAATCTAAAGTATTTTTAACTATATTTTAAGTTGATCGATGAGCTCAAATAACTTACAAGCAGAGCCATGTAGAGCTTGAACTCGCTTAATATACGAGATCGATCTTAGGCTCGAGCTCGAACTCTTCGATCTTGAACTCGTGACTTGATAAGCTTGGCTCGTGAGCTCTTAAATGAGTCGAGCTAGAGTCGGCTCAACTCATTTACACCCGTAACTATTACGATATTCTAATATGTATTTATATTAAAATATAATTATTTTTATTAAATAACTTACTAATTTTAAGTGTCTTAAATTATCTCTTAATATATTAATATTTTAGTTATTTGTAAATATTAAATCATGAGAAAAATAATATTATTAATGTTTAATTTTTTTAATTATATTATAAAATTGGTTTAAGTATATATTTATTTTAAATTTAATTTTTTAAACATGTTAATTGTATTGAAGGACATTTTATGATGTCTATTATAAAATTAACATATATTAAAAAATTCTAGCAGAATTTGTTTTTTCAAATTTCCAAAAAAAAAAAAAATTCAAAGTTTCAATGTAGAGGGTTTGGAAAGTTGGGGCTGTTTTCGAAATAAAGAGAAATAAAAGAGGTAGCTGCAAAAAGTGGACAGACAGAGTTCGCTCGCTCGGAGCTGACTGCATCGGATGCCATTTAAAAAAGCTTGGATCCTTCCTTTTCCCCGACATCAATGGCGGAAAAAGTGGTTCCACTCTCCATAGTTCACACGTCTCCGTAAACCCTAACCCTAGCTCTAGTTCTGATCCGCTCTAACAGCTCTTTTTTACTTCTAAATCGGCATGGCTGCCACACCGGCGCGAGAACAGACAACGACGCCACCGCCGCCGGTCATTGGCAAGGCTGGGCGCTACACCGTCTTCTTAACACCGCCGGCGACTCCTCGCCCGCCCTCTGAGAAACCCCTTTCGCAAAGCCCCCTGACCCCGAGCCCAAGGCCTAGTCCTGTAAATGCGGCTCCCCCGGCCGGTAAATCCTCAGCGCCGGAAGCGCCGCCGGTTCAGGTGCCGCCACCGCAGTTCGAGAAGTCGGCAGCGAAGGGAACAAGCTCTGTGTTCGGGTTCCTTTGGGATGCGGTGGCGAAGGTCCAAAATGGTAGCTTTTTAATGATTGGATGATGCTCTGTTTGCTTGTTTAAGTTAAATTAAATTTACCTTTTTGAGTTTTGAAAACTTGTCGGTGGGTTCTGTGGCAGCTCACTCGAGCTTGGACGAGTATTTGGCGGATTGGTTGGGCCTGAACCAGTCGAAGTACCAGTGGGCGCTGAATGATTACTATGAGAACACCGGATCGGTGAGTGAGTTTGTTATCGCGAATATCTTTATTTTGAAGGTAGTTTTTTTTTTCTGTTGATGAGGATCTGCAAACTTTCAATTTTCAGCATTTCCTCAAAAATTTGTTCTTTTCTATAGATGTCGGTGTTATGATCTGGTATATTTACCTACTTATTGTGGTATTTTCGCATCACTTGTTTATAGGATTTGTGCTTAATCTACTCAACCGGACGAATTCAGTCAACTAGCTTTATAATTATATTGTAACAATCATTCTGTATCTAACAATCATTCTTCGAATAGAAAGTTTTTTGTGTGAGATGTTCGACTTGTTAAGCATCTGTTTATGGCAAGCGGAAGGCTTTCAAGTTGTAGCAGTTTTAAAATTGAATTAACTTCTCCATCCTTCTTACTCCATTATTTTAATTTTGATATTTTCTCATTCATGATAATTCCCCAATTATTATCTTGTATTCTGTAGACATTTCTGGCTTTTCTTGCCCAGTTAGGACTGCAACTAGTCACCATCTACAAATCCATTGCTACGTTTTCTAGTGTTTTAAAGTTAATCATGCTCATTGAGTTACACTATTTCTTCAACTTGAGGCTTGATTTTTTTTTCCATTTGAAATTTACAATCTATATCCAAGAGAACATTTGAAGGGGTCAATATAAGAGAAAATTATTACTTTTCTTCAGGACAATTTGCAGTTTGGTATGCTGGCAATTCTTAATTAGCATTAGTACCCTTTGGAGGTTTTACTATATGCCTTATTTTATGCTAGTTTTAGTGTATTGGGGCTGAGGCATTTCCAAAAAGCTTGTATTTTAATAGGTTTGTCTATAGAAATCTATGTTCTTGTTTAAGAGAGGTTTGCTTGCTTTAAGACAAGTTGAAAGCACTAGCAGCACGGATCTTAAAGGGGACTATATCAACTTGTGTGCAACAATATATATATTACTTATTTTCCAATATGAAATGTATTATGAATTTTAGAAAGAATGATATAAATAAAAAATGACATGGGAGCTTTCGTACATGGTGAAAGAATCTTTTTTTTTTTCTCTTGAGTAAATAAGAAACTTTCAACATGTTCACATAAATCAATACTTTAAACTTGGATTCTACCTCTGTGGGGTTGGTTGGGTGACCCAACTTAGTGTTGGTTAGGCTTAGAGAGTAAAACCCCAAAATTCTTGGAAAATTTTGGATTTGGTGCAACTATTTTCAAGGAATCTTTAAGAAAGGTTGATGTACAATTTTGACTTTCAGTTCAGCATGTTTTTATCCAGTTTAGTGAAGAAACCAACCAATCAATCTCCAAGTGATCTAGTTTAGTGAAGAAACCAACCAATCAATCTCCTAAGTGATCTTATTTGAGTTTTGTGTTCAAATAAATAAGCCTCCCGCATCTTACATGCTCTTGTCCACATGAATTGTTCTTGGCATTTTTGCCATTCTTTTTGTTGCTATTTAGATTTTTGAAATGTTAATCAGGAGGTCTATATGCTATCATTTTCAGTAGATCTTTGTCTATTATCTTTTGTGTTTTTTTATTAAAAATAGAGTAGTAACTTATTGTAAGATTATATTAAAAGTGTGGTTAGATTTTGGTTTATTTAGTTGCTATTTAATAAATTTTATTACTCCTGTAGGTAACTTATTTAAATCACATAGGTTTGGTGATGTTTTGCAATTTTTTATTCTTATGTTGGTTTAGATCTTTGCAGCACGTACACATTTTCTCCTTTGCCATAACAAATGGAGTACTAGACATTTGTTGTACTTTTTTATTATGACTACAATAAAGTTTCCATGAAAGTCTTATAATGTTGCTGATCGCCCCTCCCCCATGCACAACACACTTGTAGAATACTCAAGTTATTGGGTTGGTTAGTCATCCACTACTAAGGCTTCATTTGGGACAGCTTTTTTACGGCTTCTTAAAGCAGTTTTTTAGTACAAAATTTGTACTAAAAAACTGCTTTTCAGGAGCAATAAAAAAACCATCCCAAACAAAACTTAAAACACGGAAATTAAAAAAAGATATGATCATATTTACAATCATATTATTTTAAATACTTTCCACACTTTAAGCTAGAGGTATACACCTTCAATTCTGCCAAATTCCTAGTCTATGTAAATGTTACAATCCTCAATACTCTAAGGCTACATCCTTTCCTTATTTTACTCTCACTTGTTTAATTCCCTGTTCATCCAGAATGATTTAGAAACAAGATGATGAGCAAGAGAAAATATATAAAGAAAAAGAATGGAAGGTGAAGATACGTAGAAAACAATAACTTCCTCCTCCCCCTCCCCCTCCCCTCTCCCCTCTCTCCTCCCTCCCATTAATAGCAGCTTCCTTCAACAACAAAAATCTAGTGCCCTATCATTGATCCTCTTGAGTAGGTATTTCTGGTGTTGACAAGCATGCCTGAAACAAAAATCATATTTTGGAAGTTGGTTGATTGACAATGAATAATAACTTTCTTTTCCTGTCCTGTTCAATGTAAGGTCTCTTAGTTGCTCTGTGTTGCAGGCACCTTTTAATGCATATATTTGCAAGATTGCATTTTGTTTTTTTTTTTTACTTTGATGTAATAAATAGCTTTGATTTGTTTCACTTTGGTGCCATGCACAATGCTTGTTTGGTCGCTGAAAGAAATATACTGGATGGAGTTGGTTTATTTGAAACACCGGGCCAGGCTTTCGAATGGCTTGCAAGTGGTAACTTGAATGCAAATCTAACCAAAGAGATTATACTACAAGGATACCACAATAATATCAAGCCTTTATCCCACTACGTGGGGTCGGCTATATGAATCTTTTTTCTCCATTGTGTCTTATTAAAAGTCAAATTCTCGTTTAAACATAATAAAGAAAGATCATAGTGACTTTCAACCAAGATTATACGACAAAGATAAGCTGTCAAAATGTTTACATTTCTTTTTCTAATGCAAATTGATGCAGAGGCGAAATTACTGAGGAAACACAAATGAATCTTGTTGCACACCATAAGATAAACTTGGTTGAAAGTCACCAAACCTACAAAAACTAGAATCCGCCACCAAGAAGAAACCTTCACAGAATTTGATGACAACTCCAACTCTTCATTCATATAATCCACAGGTATTTATAAGTATTATTTGAGATAAAATTAAAGGAGGGGATGGATTAGGGTGGGTATGATTGGTTTTCCATGAAATGATGTTTGTATTAGAAGGATTTCTTCACAAAAAGAAGCATCTTTTCAAGGTTTGGTTGCTCATACATGTAGGAGGGGAATCCAAAACTGTTTGCTTCTATCCAAATTTGAATTTGAATTTCAAATTATAAATTACACAAAGAAAGCAAAATTACAACATATATAAAAAAATACAAATTTCATATTTACAATGCATATTGATTTGGATCTTGTGAGTTGTTTTCATAATTCCCTATATTACATCATATTTGCTGCTTTTTCCTGTGGAAGTGTTGTTTCATTTTGCTTGAAATCTTTGCATATGAAAAATCAATGTTTTTCATTTCATAATCTCTCCACTAGTTCTAAGAAGAGCAATTATTTATGATTGCGAGCAAAGCTCTCTGCATTAACTGTGAGAAATGCTTTTTTCACAAAGTTTCTTTCATTGATTCTATGAGCATTAGAAAGTGATTTCTTGATCGAAGTGTGATAGTTTTCCAGCACTTTTGAAACTCACTTTCAAATAAATTCTCATGTAGAGTAAGGAGTCTGGCAAACCGAAGGAACAAGTCAGCAAAGATCAAACAGTGTGATTTGGTGAATGGTATGCAATATCTTTTTTTTCTTCTTTTAATTAAATTTTCTCTTAGATTTTCAAATTTCGGTTTGCTTCTAAGTTTTGGATAAACAAATTTTGCAGATCATGATTGCCAAAAGTGTATTTTGTATGATTTTTGTATTGGCAAACAAGAGCTGTTCTGTAAGAGCAAAGCCATCGAAGTTGGTTAGTACGACTAATACGATTCAGAGCTCAATTCAGTGTGACAGTGCTTTTGTCAGAGCTCTCTTCTGTCTGTATTTTTATTACATGTATGATGTACTTCTCTGTCCTTAACGAATCAGTGAATTCTGTTAAGAGTTACAGCAAGAGGTTATATGTAAGTAAGAACGCTGCATCTCATTTGTGCCATCTTCTGATGTCTGCCTTATTCTGAAGCAATGAAACTTGTTTTATTCAAATGCCATTATCTATTAATTTAGGCTTAGTTTGGGATGGCTTTCTTTCTGAATTTTTTTACTAAAAAATTGCTTTTGGAAGCAGAAATAAAGTTGTCCCAAATGAAGCTTTAATCTATTTAAGATTTTGTTATCTATTAAAATAAAATATAATTGCTAGAATTGTTTGAAGCAACCATTTGATATGAGCTCGAAGAAGATAAATACAAAGTAGGGAGAATGCAGGGAAAGAAGAAAGGAAATTCCACTCATGATGATCATTTACAATTAGCGTTCCAAATACATTATTAAAAGCCCATTACACTTCCCACTATATTTATCTACTCATTATAGCAAATAACTTCCTAACATAGCAAGTAATAATTGATAAATAAGTCAATACACATGGATCATAATAATGATCATGTCATATATATTATTATTCATCGAGGTGTGTAGGTGATCTTCCATGGTTAATAGTATATATAATATCATATGCATTTCTATTGATATGTTTGTGTCGCGTATAAAGACCTACGACTATTTTATCCTACGGGATAGTACGATCATTCCTTTTTACATTTTGTTACCCACGAGCAGAATCTTTTCAGAGACTCATAAATAAGTCATTATTCTGATGATAATCATCATAAATAAAAAAAGTCAATCTGATCATGATAAGTCATTGATTATAAGTGAATATCTTATTCTTCAATGAGTTTATCATCTTATATATGTCAGCTAGCTGATCAATTATGAGCATCAATTTGTACCAAACTCTTTAATCAATATAAGCACTTTGTCTTTTCTCTTATCAATATTTTGGATAAGCCCAAGAATTGTCCTTCTGTGTAGAGACTGATCTCCAATCAATCAGCTAATCTTTGGATTTCATTCCATCATATAATTTTATCACATAAATCATATATTCTTTGCATCATGTACAAGTTATGGTTGTTGAGATCCTCCAAAGGTTGCCTTTGCAATAAATTTAATCACTTTAATCCTTCATTTCCCTTTTAATTATCTATCCATTCATACTTTTAAAGTGTGGAATTAATAACAATGTAAACTTGAAATATGACTAAGGTTATGTTTGGGACGGCTTTCTTACTGCTTCTTAAAGCAGCTTTCAGTAGAAAATTTTATTTTTTTGCACTAAAAATCTTCTTTAAGAAGCAAAAAAAAAAAAAGCCGTCCCAAACGAAACATAAGTTTGACTTCTTCAAAGGAGAAGATTTGGGTTAGATTATTCTGATGAACATTTGGTTAATATTGATTTTAAATATGTTGGATCCGATTTATGATGAGTGAAATATAATTAATTGATTAATCATACATTACACTTATCTTAACACAATTTTAATAATTTTAAGTTCATTTTAACCAAAATTTATTAATCTGTAATTAACATAAAATAAATAGTTAATTAGGCATTACTTTGCCTAAAGACAAGCCAACTTTTCTCAATTAAATTATTTAAAAAAATGATCAACTTTTCAACCACAATACAAAATTCAAAAACCTATCCAAAACCATCAATCCCAATAAACATAAATCAATTATTATTTAAATATTTGCATGAATTTTAAATTTGCAAAATTCAATTTGGATTTATCTCAAAAAGTTTTCTAAATTGTAAATCTTTTCTGTAACTATCAATAACCCTTTTTTTGAAATAAATTGTGATAAAATTATTAAGTAGTTGTAACATTTTAATATCTAATTTCAATATACTAAGTAATAAAAATTAGGAGAATTTACATACATATCAAATTTATTTCAAATTATTTACACAATTACACATCTAACATTCAAACTTTTAATATTACGTTCTTATCATTTATATAAAGTTTTAATATCAAACATATCATTTATATGTTTTTTTTTTATCACCCATATCATTTATAAATTTTAATATTTTATTTCATACTTATATTTATTCTATGAGTAGTAGTATGTAATATTAAAATTTTAAGTGTTAGGTACATATATATATATATAGCATAAAATATCACTAAAAATTAACAGAATTAACCTTTATGGTTGGCCTTAGTTTAATTTTAAATAATTTACTGTACTATATTGTAAAATAATTCATATTTTATTAGCTTTGTAAAAAAAAAAAGGTCGGGTCAAAATTCAACCCTGGAAAGAAAACCAAGCACTGTATAGCACATCACATCCGTCGGCAGCAGCTCAACAAAACAAAATCGACGGCTCACGATTGGCTTAGTGACATGAGCACCGATCTCATTGTTCTTCTTCACGGGGAGCCTTCTCCACGACTCCACCTTCTTATATCTCTCTATCTCTGCTCCGCTCAAACAGATTTGTGCTTTCAACTTCACGTAGTGTTTTCTTCTTTTTGTAAGAAAGATTAAGATAGGAGGAGAAAGATGAGGGGGCTGACCTGTAACGCCTGCAATAGGGAGTTTGAAGACGATGCGGAGCAGAAGCTCCATTACCGTTCAGAATGGCACCGATACAATCTTAAGAGAAAGGTAGCGTTTTTACCTCTCACATGAGCTTTTTGTTTGGATTGGATTAGGTTTTTCGAACCAATTACTGATCTTTGAGAATAGGGTTTTGGGTTTTTATTTTTTATTATTTTTTTCATTCAAGCTATTGTTTGTTTAGTAGGCTGCACAATTTGGTTGAATTTAAGGATATTATATAATTTTTACAATACATATATTTCCAGATTTGGCTTTGTTTAACGGAATTTAGGATTTTTTTTTAATAATATTTTGGACGTCGGATGAAGAGATGAATAAGAGATTGCGAGAGTAATCCTAATCCTGGAATAATACCTTATGATATCTATATGCTTGACAGGATTAAAAGTAATGATAGCTATGCTATGTAATTTCTTTGCCTTATCCTTTAAAATCTTTGTTTACTCGTCTGGTTATTGTTTTCTTGTTGTAGTGGGCAGTAAATGTTGGATATGGGTTTTGGATTACGACTTAGCATCTTAATGTTCTATATCTTCCTTAGAGAAATTTCAAATTTATGATTATAATTTTTGGTGTTGCGGGTGGATGCTTTGAGTAGAATAAGAGAGGAATGTATTTGTTGTTCCCCCTTTCTTTTCTTTATGCTGGTGGCTGCTTTGTATTTTCTCCTTGAAAATTTCTTACATTGGTCTATGATACCAGGTTTGAAGAGTAATTTTCGTTATGGTACTCTTGCTCTTTTCTACTATTGCATTCGAATTTGTATAAAGCATACTTAGATTCATGAATTGGTTTGTTGTCTTACCAGAAAATTTGAGGTTAATATGAATTTTACAATCAATTGTGGTATTTATCGAACTGAACCAAAGATCTAAATGGTAAAGGGTTTCTTAAATGAAATATCAGTGAAGCATCTAGTTTGTAACCTTTTCAGTAGCAAAGTTTAAAGTACATTTGATTGGAACTCTTAGTAGATGACAATTATAAAAATGAATGACCAAGCCACCATGTTTTTGGTATATTGGTCTTAGATTTAGGATTGTACTTTCTTTAGTTGCTTGAATGGCTTGTATTGTCATTGGTGTATCATTTTGAGTCTTTAAATAGAGGCTATAGGTTGTTATTAGAACATATTTAAGCAATAAAGAATTTGAGTTCAGCTCTCTCCCTCTCCCCTTCCCTCTCTCCCTCCTCTCTCAAGAAGCTCAAGAAAGAAGTGCTTCTTCCTCTCATTCAAGATCCTAACATTTTTCATTATCTAATTGTTCTATATTTTGATTTGAATTTATGTTAGTTTTATCCAAAGGAAACACTTGTATTTATTTTCTCACACATATAGCGATTTGTAAACATGGTTAAAACTGCCAGCATTCTATGAATATGATATATTCTGAAGGATATGATAATTATGAGCAACGGCTGAATATATTGGTAGGATGGCATTGAGTTGAAGAGTTTCTTTTGCATGAAATTGTATGTATTTTTATGTGGAACACTTCTTTTGTTTTGGATTATGATTTGCTTTGAAGTTTTTGACTAACATATTAGGGAATAATCAGTTGTATTTTCTTGTCGTATCGTCACTACTTATTTGTTGTCTCTACATATTAACTTTTTTTTCCTTTTCTGTTTTGATCAATTAAATGGATGTTTACTTCTATTTAGACGATAGTGAATGATGGATGCTTTATTATTTGTTGTCAGGTAGCTGGAGTTCCCGGGGTTACAGAATCTTTATTTCAGGCTAGACAATTAGCTTTAGCTGAAGAGCACGAAAAGAAAAGTGAAGCACCTGCGTTATACTGTTGTGCTCTATGTGGAAAGGAGTATAGGAGCTCCAAAGCTCACTCTCAACATCTCAAATCAAGAATGCATATGGTGAAAGCTTCTCAAGAGGCAGGGACGACAGCTAGCATTACTATAATTAAGCCTCTTACAGATCGTTCACCAAGCAAGTCAGCTTCAAGTAGTAAGAATCCAACATTTAGAGGAAATAATGATGAAGAAAATGATGAGAGTGAGGATTCTGAATGGGAGGAGGTTGACCCTAATGAAGATATGGAGGAGGCATCTGAATCCTTAACAAATCTTCATGTAGATGAAGGAACTTCAAGCTCTGGCATTGTCAAGAGCGAGGACATTGATGAAGACGAAGAGTTGGATGTTTCATGTTGTTTTATCTGTGATTGTAAACTTGATGGCATTGAAGGTTGTCTGGTTCACATGCACAAAGCGCATGGCTTCTTTATTCCAGATGTTGAGTATTTGAAGGATCCCACAGGACTTCTGACATATGTTGGTCTTAAGGTACTAATATACCCATGCATGTTATTCTTGAGATATCTGCTACATGGTAAATTGATAGGAAACACTTGTAGATCTCAAGTATTTCCTATCAATCTTCGGAAAACAGCGAGAATTCTCCACCAAAATTTACACAAAAACAGGAAAACAATAGATAATTTGTATTATTTGATAAAATAGAAATGAAAAATAGCAAGATACAGTTAATCCTCAATTCGAGAGGAGGATTGATTTCTCCCAAATCTCTAGATGCTGCTAGAGCCCAAATAAAACCTAAATCTAGGCGATTTCAAATTTCAGCCAAATTCAAGATGTTCTAACCCTAGGAAAATAAACTATTTAATGCATACAATTCAAAAGGAAATATCTAAACAGTCCCACATACAAATTTCCCTTCCAAATCCCTTAAAAATCCTTCCTAAATTGCTCTGCTTGGGCGTTCGGATCGCCCGATCTCTGCAGGAGGCGGAGATCCCGCCTCTGTTTCGCAAGCCGGTCCCGTATGGACCGGCTGGGCCGGGTCATTAGACCGGTCTAACATAAATCTCTTGTCGACTTAAATGCTTGATTTTTTTTTTTTTTTTGTTGATTCTAGGTCAAGAGGGATTTCACATGCTTGTATTGTAATGAGAGATGCCAGCCTTTTCAAAGCTTGGAAGCAGTAAGGAAGCACATGATTGCGAAAGGGCATTGCAAACTTCGCTATGGTGATGGAGGTGATGATGAGGATGGAGATCTTGAAGACTTTTATGACTATAGAAGCAGGTAAATCTTGGAGCTTGTTTTCTTCTTAATTTGAAATGAACTCTTGCATTACAATACCTTTTACAAGTTGGTGTTATTTGGATTTAGAATACGCCTGATAAATCCTTGACTTTAGAAGAATTGAATCTTTTGTAATGATTTAAATAGCAATTATTCTTCATATTTTCCACCGATCAAACTGTTATTATATCTGATATTGCTTGTGTGGTAAGCTATTTGCTTTAACCTAGGGTTCTAAGGCATACACGTACGACCTTCAATGCTATTGATATTATTCTATCATGGTATTACTGGTTATCGTCTTAAATTTGAGTTATCAACTTCTTATTAGTTATGTTTAGGACCATTAATTATGAATTTTGTTTTAGAATTTGGAATAAAAATGGAATCCTAAATATGAATTAAATATTTAAATGTTATTCAAACGAAAATTCATTTTTGGAATACTAAAATAAGGCCTTTTTTGAAAATATGGCTGTATATGTACTACACTTCTGAAGTTTAAGATACTCATGTTTTTGGTGCATTATAAAAAAAGATACAGGAAGTGGATGTATTTCAAAATACTTCATTAGTAATGTATTATACTATTATAATATGCTAATTTACTTATAAAGCTATTAAATAAATAAAGTTTTCATGCAAAAGCCCTATACGAGTAGTAGCTAGTTTTAGGTGTTATACTCTGAACATGGAAAGTGTCTAGATTCCATGGAAATGTCATGGTTAATTATCCCACGCTATAATGCTTAAGATCTTTTATGCATAGCATGTTTGATGACACTTTGAGTTAGATGGAGTCAACCCCAATTGTAGTTTAAGTATTTTTACTCGAAACAAGTTTTATTTGATTTAAAACTGATCAATTTTGGCTCAAGTTTTGAGTTGATTAAAACCACATTATTATATAAAAAAAACTATCTTATAATCTAAGAATGTAGCTTATATACATTTCTACAATGCATAAGTTTGCAAATATATACATAAATATATAAATAAATAACTATGCATATAAAAAAATTTCTATGAACTCAGGTATATTCGACCACGTTCACATATTTTGTTATTTTCATGCATCTATGCATTGTGCTTGTCTATGTATTTCAATGTGTAGACATTTATGAATCGCAATATAAAGAACTTTGAAATCCTATTATGTGATATGGGCCTTTGTACTTTAGAAGTCATGATAGTTCAAGTGGAGGCTTTTTGCGTTACGTGGTAGGCTTGAGACTTCCAAGTACTCTACTCAATTCTAGCACCTCAAATCTCATGTTATGTTATTACTTAAAGTATGTCATAGGCCTAAAAAAGAAGAGAAATATGAGAGATTCACATTTATATATGTGTTTCAGAACAATATTGTTTTCCTTGATATCCTAGTACATCTCCCTTGTGAAGACCGAGTGCAACCTTCCCTATGTCTATATCCAGTTATAGGAGTCTGTTAGACCGGTCCAGCCGGTCTAAAGTGGACCGGCTCTATTAAGGCTGAACAGTTACGCCTGTTTTGAGGCGGAACTTCTTCTTGTTTTAGGTGGAACAGGCTTCTACCTGATAAATTGCCCGTCCCTTTTGCAATGGGCCTAGGGCATTAAAATTCAATTATGGGGGGAGGCTGCTTGGAGGGAAAGAATTTAAATGCAAAGGGGTGTTTGGGATATTTTTGTATGTTTTAAGTATGGTGTTTTTCATGGGGTTAGGGAGATGTCTTGTTTGCTGAATTTAGTTTATTCTTAAATTATTTGGCCTCTAGCTGGCTGATAAGAATTTGGGAGAACGAGATCTTCCTCTCCAATTGAAAATCCAATTATATCTTGTTTTTCTCTTTATAGTTCTTTCAATAAAAATTATTTTTGGTCATTCTTCATCCCAATTTTTCGTGTTTCATACCCACTGATTTGATAAAAAGAGCATCTATTTTCTATGAGATTCGGCTTTTTCTGGTCTATCGCAAATTGCTAGCTGGTCCTGCCTCTTTCAATTTCCTCCCGCCACAGCAAGGAGAACCACAAATCCCTCTTATTCAAGGCGGGAAGATGCAACTCTAAACAACACCTTCTCTATATTAAGAACAAAATATGTGGAAAAACAATGGGAACAAATCAATATTTACAGCAGATGTAAAGAAATGCATTGATAATATCACTAAAGTTTCACAAGAACTGGCTGCGGGGAATGCAGAATAAAAACAACTCTAACAAACTCTTTTGCATAATAAAACTTTTGCAAAATGAATGCAAGTGTGAGCTATCAAAACAATAGTTACAGAAGATGTAAATCAATTGAGTTTCAAAAATAGAGAAAAACTGGCTGAGAAAAAAATTCAGAACGAAAGCAACTCTAACAAACTGTTCTGCTTGACAAAGTTATCTTCAATTATGATTTTTCCCAAGTATGCCAAAATATTTGTCTATGGACTACGTAAATCATGAGTTGATGTCCAAATATCTTACAAGTTTGGGTTATTTTTGTATTCTCTCATAGCAAACTTTTTCCAAATTGTCTATCAAAATAGTACTTTTGACCCACAGAGCAAATTTGGTCAAAATTAACTTAATTCAAAGTTGATATAACTTTCTTAATTCTTATGTAATTTTACATAATCATGAACAGACTATCAAATTGATAAAAAACAAAAAATTGAAAGCATGATCAACAAAAAATCTTGAGACAACCTTCTTAGTTAGTCAATCTTAACAAATTTCCTTGAAAAAACTTACCATGTGCTTGATCTTGCTTGATATGCGCACTGTTTGCCATTGTAGTCTTAAGTAATTTTGTCCTTTATGCTCCTCTTTACGAAGCACTTGGTTTATATTTATGGTGTTAGCCTCATTTTTATGGAACTATGTTAGACGCTTCTTTTACCTGTAGCTCATGTTTTAATTATTTTACTTGTAGCTACATGAATGAGAATGGGAAGCAACTAGTGGCAGTGGACGATGCATCACGAAGTGTGGAGCTAGGAACTGGAGGGGCTGAACTAATCATTACACGAAAGACTGAGAATGGGACTGTAGTTCGCATTTTTGGTTCCAGAGAGTTTCTACGGTACTATCGTCAGAAACCACGACCTTCTCGCGACAGCAACATTGAACTTGCTATCTCATTAGCTTCCAGGTATTGCAACTTCCTAAACTTGAGGTGATTTTGATGAACTTGAAACGCTCAAATAAATTTTATATATCTGGTGGATGAGGATTCATGAAGCCAATGGTAAATATTTTGGATACGAGGCTAATGATAATGACTATAACATTGGGCGCATTCCCAAGGAAAAAATGATAATGATGGTGGTGATGATATTATATGCATGAAATAGGCATATTTTGAAAAGTGGGTTTTGTCAAACTATTAGATTAAATTTCAAAATAGGCTACCAATTATGAACAACTTAGTCATATATTATAAAGTTGATGACAATTTAGTCCATCAACTATACAAAATTGACACAATTTTGAATCAATTTTATATAGTTGATGAGCTAAATTGGAGAAATGTAATTTTCTGAGATTAAATTAGGCTTTGTTCGGGACGACTTTCTTGTTGCTTCTTAAAGTAGTTTTCTAATATAAAATTGTTAATTTTTGTACTAAAAATTTGCTTTAAGAAGCAGTAAAAAAGTCATCCCAAACGAATCCTTAGTCACATATTAATAGTTGAGGATCATTTTAGGATTTTTGTGAATGCTAATTATTTTATGGAGAAGCAAAAGTATTAGGCTCTATATGTAGATGTCAAATTATTGGATTAATATTTTGGCTGATTTTGGAACAAAGATATGTATTTGAGGCAAATTGTAAGAAATTTATTTGAGTGAGGCTGCAATGAAGTTATAAAAGAGTAATATGCATAGGCTTTGCTACTTGCCCCGAACTCTAAAGAGCTTTGGCTTTGATTCCTAAAAGACTATAGGCCTATGAAAACAATTTCATTGTTAAATAATTGATATGGGTCTTAAGTTAATAAATATTCATAGAGTGACCACAAAATTTCCAAGCAGAGAAGCTTACATTCAGGATCTTATCTCCTGTATTTTTGGCCAGTAATCTCCCCAAATAAGAGAAAACAATGAAGATAATCAATAGAAGATTTATAATCATCTGCAATCTTATCTTTCTCCATGGTTTTGGCATTGCCTACAGGTATAGGAGCATGGGCTTAGCAACATCAAACCAGAACTTAGTGAGGATGAAAATTCTGAAGGAGATGAACCGCAGCGGAGTGGAAGCTCTGCGCACAAAGATTGGAATGAAGAGTAACGTCATCAGGAACCTCCCTAAGAACGTCCCTTATTAATCATTTGCAGATATTTTAGCCTCTTGTGTCTTAAGAGCTGACGCTTTAAGCTTCAAATGTTATTGAAACAAGATGGTTTGTTGTCGCAGCTGCAACTGCAAGGGCTTCAATGGTGAAGTTGCCATCTTTCCTTTTTCTGGCAAGATAATTTTTAATGTTTTTGGAGGTTTGAACTTCATTTTTATCAGAAATTTTGCTAATATATTAGAGTGAGTTTTGTACACGCAAAATTTTGGTTATCTGAAATGCGTTTTGATAATCTCTTTTTCCCAAAAAAATAAAAAGGAGCTTCGAAAATCTGCAGCTTGCTATATAAGATTATAAGCATCTTGAACAGGTGATGATCAACCCATTAATGATAGTGTTGGGCTAAAATGAGATGATTAAGACTTCGTTTGGAACGGTTTCTTACTGCTTCTTAAAGCGGTTTTATAGTACAAAATTTTTATTTTTTGTACTAAAAAATTATTTTAAGAAACAGTAAGAAAACCGTCCCAAACGAAACTTTTTTTTTTGTCAATTAAAGGACTTTTCTTGATACATCCTATCAACATACTATTTTGCATCCTACTTAGAGTAATTACCTTTAATGCATATGAGATATTTTTATTCAATAAAATTAACAAAACGTTAATAATCTATTTTTTTATTATGATGAAAAATACTTTTATTTTTATCATGATTGTTCGTCAAGTTTTATATTGACACCCTTCCACTTTTCTTATTTAGAATTAAGTCCTTGTAATGGGATGAATGTTTATTGTTGACATTGTTGTTGTTGGAAAATATTTTCATTTTCTATGAAATGACTAAGGTGAATTCAATGTAAAATGAAGCTATCTCTAGAACAAATAATGTAGCTCTTATGTAGGGATGCAAATGAATTGAATCGAGTCGAGCCTCACCCGGTTCGAGTTCAAGCTCTTTCGTCAAGGAGCATATGTAAAGCCTTTAATCACCTGTATAATCATCTTATTATCATAACAAGCAATTTATTTATTTTATGAATAAAATTATTTAAAAAAAAATTCATTGTTTTTCGAAACTCACAAATTTATGAACATTTCTAAACGCACAACAACAAACTATTTTTATAGATAATAATATCCTTTGTTCGTTTAAAGTATAGAGATGCGCGTTTGAATAAGAACTCTTTGTCTTTTTTTTTTTTTAAGAACTCTTTGTCATAATCCTTATAAATGTCCATTTATTAAATTGAATTTTAAAATAAATTAAAGCTATCATTGCATAGCACTATAGCCACTCAATTATGAATTTTTATTGCGTCCTCCCACCTGATGTAGAGATACGTCTTCCCACCGCCAAAAAACTCAGTTTTTGCTCGGTATTGCTAGGTATTATTTGATAATAACGAGGAATATCATCATGTGAAGACCAATACCGAGTTATACCGAGCAATACCGAGCAATACAAAAAAATACCGAGTTTTTCCTAGGAAAAACTAGGTATTTTTTGTATTGCTCGGTATAGCTCGGTATAACTCGGTATTGGTCTTCACATTATGATATTCCTCGTTATTGTTTGGTATTGCTCGGTATTTGCTCGATATTTCTCGTTTTTTAGCGCGAATTTAGCTCTAGGAGGACGTACCTCTACGTCAGGTGGGAGGACGCAATAAAAATTCCTCAATTACAGGGCATAAAAAATAGTCATTATCAAAATTATTCTCTATCCAAATAAAATGAGATTTAAGAATATATAGTATATATAGTTATCATTTTTACTTTTTTTTTTTTGCAGGATTTATGCTTCCTTTAGCACAAGGTTTTTATTGCTTTCAAAAATATTTTTTTAGCAAAAAAATTTTTTGATAAAGGAATTTTGGTATTACAAATTTATTTAAAAAACAATAAAAAAGTTATCCCAAATAAAATTTTAGAGTAAATACTCTCAAATTCTATATCCAAACTATTTCAAATTAGATGAAATAGAGAGCTCTAAAAAAATCATTTATCAATAGGAATAACCAAGAAGATACTCCTCTTTTTGTAGAGAAATTATTCTGTGCGGATTTCAGACGAAAATAATAGTTCGAATCGTAAGTGTACACTGATCTGATACACACTATAAAAATATATATACAACATATGCACAATATAAATTCCACACAGAATAATTTCTGGTATTTGTGGCATTGGAGGAACAATTATTACGTCCTCCGACCGGATGCAGAGGAACATCCTGTTGTAGGCAAAATCGCGCCTATACCGAGGTGTACCTAGTTTTTTCAAAAAACTCAAAAAACTCGGTACACCTCGGTATAGACGCGATTTTGCTTACAACCGGATGTTCCTCTGCATCCTTACACCGGACAAAATAAAAGTATTGGAGAGCTCATCAACATTGAATTAAATTCTTTGGTCTTTTCTAAACCGATTTCTTCTCCACTGAAGTAATTCCCACGTGCCAAAATAGAGCCGATTCCATACTACAAAATACGCCATCACTCCAGCCCCGGCCCCTTTGTCTCTCACGGCTCCTTCACCATCCTTCTACTCTTCTTTCTCTTCCTCATCTCCGTGCTGGATTGATCAAGGGATAGGAGCTTGTTTGTGTTGTCAGAGGATTCAGTGGCGTTTACCCTATGTGTGGAAATGGAAAGGCTACGGAGTTATGAAGTTTGTTCGCTTCTCGCTTCCTGAGATCGCGGCATTTGCATTAGAATCACAACTTGGTTTGATTTTGCTTTCCTGTATTTCTATTTTCTTCATCTGAATTGAAAACTGTTTGTAAAGAGTCGTTTTTTGCTTCCGGGACTTTTTGCTGATGCTAGGGCTATGTTGCCATAGACAGTTTGGTTCGGGGAATATATTTATCTTTTATTTTCTTGTGGTCAATGGGATTAAATATTTGGGGCCTGCTGTTTCTTTCTTTGCTTATCTTTGGTCATGTGGATTTCTCGATTTTGTTTTTTTTTTCATTATGCTCTACCGAGAGATTCTGCCGAAGCTCTGATTCTTTTGGTGCAACTGGAGCTTTGCGGTTAATCGGATTCGGGCTGAGTTACTTATTCCTCGTTCAATGGTCATATAATGTAAGAACTTTTCTTTGATGTTGCAACCTCACGAGAAATACCTATAAACTAGCTTTAGGGTGTAAGTTTGTTCTGTATGACATTTCTGAAGCGTTCTGATGGGATGATCATATGATCTGCTATGGCGTGTTGTTTTCTTGCTAATACTGTGATTTGATCGGGAAGTTTGCTCAAATAATCAGTGGTTTGGGTGTCAGGTATAACTTGCTTTTATTTGATGACATTCTATTTTAAATGTTGTGAAGCTGGACTATGAAGAACTTGGGTGGTGAGTGCTGTGCATTTGCACATGCTCATTTATCGTGATAAGTTCTAGAGGTGAGATGAAGGGTTTTGGAAAATCTTGCTTCAGTCTGATGCTATTATTCTAAACTTAAAGATAAGGATGGGATGATCCTTTGTTAAATCAATTTAATGTATTTAAAGTCTATTGGAAAACCTTTGTTGTGCTTGCAACATAATTTGAGTTTTAAATGGAGTTCTCTTGCTTACATATATTTAATATAGATTTGGGAATAGTTAGGATGGCCCTCAAAAGTATTATTATAGAAAGCGAATGAAAGTGATAAGTTGATTCCAAGGAGGAGAAAGTTTAGAGAGATTAATAGATATAGAAAGTTATTGTAACTTTAAACTTGATGGATAAAGGGCTTTTATATCTTGTGTCTTGATTCTTCCTTCTTCTCCTTGAAGTTTTCGGGCAAGCTCTTCCTTGATAAGTTCAACTTGGAGTTCTGGTTGGGCTGGCTAGTTGGCAATAGGATTTCGTTTTGGTTTGCCCATATCTATTATCTTTATAAAAGAGAAAAATGAAACACAAAGGCCAACTTCGGATTCACAATGTTGTTCCTCAAAGCCTCTTGAAGGTCTCTCTTCAAATTCCATGTATTACTTTCTTCTTCAATGGTGGGTGCATTTCTGTGAGTAAAGTTGCTCTTGTTGTTATTCTCATTTCTACTTAGAAAATGATTAATGTCAACAAAGACAAATATTGTTTCTAGATAGAATGCGTGTGGAGAGAAACAGAGAGAAATAAATTCAGCTTGAGGAAGAAATTGAGGCAAACTTAATACTTCATAAACAGATGAATGAGCATGACTGAATGCATGTATAATACACTCATATGTATGATAGGAGGATAGATATGGGTTACAATAACAATTTTAACTAATGCAAACTGCATGGAGAAATGATTAGTTTTGCTGCCTAACAGAATATCCAACTTATTTAGAGGGATAGTTTTAGGAAAATAAGATATCATGGATAAGGGTGGTCAGCCTCATCCTTGGATAAGGAAGGGTGATGTGAAACGTACATGCGAAGATGACTTTCTTAATGAATTTGCATGCTTAGTTTTTAGAGCACAATAATTATATATTTGCATTGATTTTGAACGACAAAATAAAACACGAGCAGCAAAACAAGCTTAGGCTAAATCACATACAAAGGAGTTAAGATCGTAAAACAATCAATTTAATCTAATGATTCATACATGATTGATTTTCAACGATGATCCCTAAACTAACAATGAGTTTAGTTACTATAAGAATCCACTCACTCAATTATCTAATTCACTAGGTTACAGCGGATGAGAATTAACATTATCTATGTGAATCAACTAAACCATAATTGAGAGCGACTAGGAAGATAGGAGATTTGGGGAAGAGTTCACCGTCGTCAAATTCTTAGATCTGATTTGAGGGGCAAGGTAGAAGATCTAGAGCCCGGTGGCCAAACTTGAAGAAGTCCTGTGTGTGGATAGCCGTGTGGGATCTTCTGGGCAACCAATGAGAGCCTTCCGGATGGCGAATCAGCACTAGAAAACTGTTGGAATCTTGGAACAGCAACTACGACTTTTCAAGATAGCAAACAGGGATTCCTAGAAAGCAGGACAGCAACTTGTCTCGTCGGAAATATTTAGGACAGCAGCCATGAACTTTCTGGACAGCAAGCAGGAGTATCCAGACAGTAGGACAGCCTCTGATCTTTGAAGAAATTCCCTGGACAGCAGCTGTAGGGTGCTGGAAGTCTTTTGGACAACAAGCTGTAATCTCCAAAAGTGCAAGACAACAAGTTGTAATCTTCCTAAAGTGCAAGTCAACGAAGAAAACGTAAGCCTTTGGAGGGGTAGATTAAAGATGAACTTAATTACAGATTTAATGGGGAATTAGGCTTTATTCCTTTGAAATCTGAATTTGAATAATTGGGAAAATTGGGAGGGAAAGTGGGGAGGGGATTGTATTAATTAGATCCTTAATTCATGGGATGTAATTAATTAAAAGGGGAAGGTTGGGGGGCCGGCCAAGGAGAGAGGAAGGGAGAGGGGCTGGGTATTAAGGAGGTGGGCCCAAGTAATTAAGGGGATTGAATAGTTAAATCTGAAATTAATTTCAGATTTAAACTATTTGGAGGTTTCTCTTAATTTATGGGATGATAATTTAAGAATTGTTTGAAATTCAAATTTGAATTTGAACTTAAGTCTATTCCCAAATTAGGGGAGCCAAATTAGGAAAGCATTTATGGGAAATTTGAAATCAAAATGTGGGAGGGAAATATGTGGCCGGCGGCTATGGGGTGGAGGGGGTGGCCGGCATGTGAAGAAAATTATGAGCTTCCAAAACAAGCTATGTGATTTCGGAAGGAATTATGATATTCAATCTGATTTGAAATTCAAATTAGATCTATGTTTAATCACTTTCCTAATTTAGAATTTCAAAAAAAGGAAAGTATTTGAAATTCAAATAGAATTCTTTCCCTCTTGGCTTGGCTTAACTTAGGAAAGCAACTATGATGAGGGAAATCATCATAATGGGGATTGTAGAGTGGGTCGGCGACATGGGGGAAGGGGGGATTTGGCTCGGGTGGAGGGGAATAAGCTTTGGGCCGGCGATGGTGATGAGGTTGGGAGGTGGGGTTGACACGAGGGGAGGTGATGGTGGCCGTCGGGTAATGGAAAAGAAAAGAGGAAGCTCGGGTGGAGAAAAATGGGAGAGAAGAAGAAAAGATATGGGAAAACCAAGAGCTCACCCATAGGGGCTGTTGGGTACTTCGTTTGAGCCTCTCCTAGGCTTCATCACTCTCTCTAGAACTCACAAAGAGATCCAAAAGCAAAAGCTAAAATTTTTCATATCAATCATCATCATCCTTCAATATAAGAAAGCTAGCCTATAAATAGGCCTCATGAAAAGAAAAATAGCAAAGACTAAAATGCCCTTTGGGCTACAACACCACTTGATCACTCCTAAGGGTAAAATGGGAAAAACATTAATAACTAATACATAAGACATCAAAAAATAAAATAACTCTAGATCGCAGCCGTTGATCTTCTGATGTCCTCATCAAAGAGTGATCAACCATGCTTTTGCATTATGATTTGGCATTGTGGCGTGTCCCTTTTTATGCGATGTCCTGTTGATGTTTATACTTTTGTTGTAGTTTTTTGTTTCCTTCTTTTAACTTCCCCTGCAGCCTTCTTTAGAGCCTCTTTTTGTGACAACCAAATTTGTTTTGGTTAGATGCAAGTAGCTGAATCCATTGTTACGTTACACCAAAGTAGTTAGCTCAGTTCAAGTCAGCCTAAGTCTACATGGTTGATTGGCCTGATTGGTTGGAGAGACTCATGAATAATGATATTTTATGATATCTTTATTTGTAAAAGTTTGCATAGTATCATATTTTTTCAGATTGCTATCAATTGGATCTTTTAGCTCAATTATTTTGGTTTTTTTTTTTTTCAGATTGGTATCAACTGGATGCCTAGGCTCAATTATTTTGGTATTAGGCTGGGCATGTTGATGTTGGTTCGATCTTTCCTATTGGGTTGACTTTTTTTTGGTAAAGATGATTGGGATTTTTCCATCCCTAGTTAGATTGAATAAATTACTTTAAAAAATTTGTATTGAAATAATACAATGAACTAAGTTATTCTTGGTTGAATTCTAAGTGGGTTTTTAAGGGTAGTATATATGATGATGAAATTATTTTAAAAATAGTCATGAATATCTCTTTTATCTATTAATTGCATAATTATATTTGGTATTTTTATGAAGTTTGCTTTTGTGACTTCTTTAATAGCGGTGCAATCCCCTTATTGTGCACTATTGCTACGTCCAAACTTGGCCTGCTCATGTCTATGAAGATAGTTTGGGCATTCTAATATAGCTGAGGATAGAAGTATTTGTTTTGATTGCAGCAAATGGTCATTTATGGAATTACTTGGTTTTTATGGGATTTGATTTTAGAAATTGTGCAATTGGCTGGTCATGTTTGGAGTTGATTTAGAGAAATGGCAAGAAAAATGTTGCACAATATATTTATAACTTTTAGTTTGGGTGAAAATGAATTGAGTTTGAGCGTTTATCCTTGAACTAGACTTTAAACAAACTCAGTTGACTCAAATTCCTCTTAAAATTAAAAAAAAAAAAAAATCCTCTTAAAATTCAATCTCTATTTGAGTAGAGCAATTTAACTCGAAAAGATTCAATTTTGAACCAACTTGAATTTATTTAAAGTTTGCTCAAAAGCATCGATGATCCAACATAAAGCACAATTGGCGGCAAACATATGTTTTATGTTTAAGAAAAATATATCATTAGAATATGAAAATAAGATTGAAATTAGGCTTAATTAATTGAAATTAG